GCAGCAAGTTGTTGCACTTCAAGATGTTATTCGAACTAGCTTGTGCGCCTTTTCTCCCCCGGGTCAGGCACCATTTTCCCTCATTGCTTTCTAATGGGAAGTCCTTTATCATCTTCCATTGTTGGGGAAAATGTCTTTCTCAATTTCTCCCCCAGCTTTGGAATCTGACGTAAAAAAAGGCAATTTTGTTTTCAATTTTGTCTTTGTCACTCTTCGTTGCACAGTTCCTTCTCTCTGTTCATGTTTTGAAGAAAGTAAGAAAAGGCCTTTGGAGATGTTACGCTATTGGTGATGGTAGGTGTTGTCAGGTGTATATATATGATCAACCACTACAGTAGCTATTAGCAGCAGTTATAATTATTGTGGTGCATGGGAGAGCATTATATTACATAGCAAGGGATTCAATGTTTTACCACCGCAGGTGTTAACTTCTGTAAGGTTCATTATCACTGGTTGGTATATCAACCCTGTCAGCTGGAATTGCAGTTCTCCTGATTTACTATTCTGGAAGTACTACGTTTTACTGTGAATATAAAAAAATGGACGTTTATTGACTTTCTAATTCCACTGGTGGTATTTGACCATGTATATGAGGATTTATATGATGAAATGAACTTAAGACACAGGAAAAAAATTGGTCATAGACGTTAGAAATTATGCCCGAGATGAAGTTGGTAAGAACCTTGCCTTTTCGCAGGGTTTATCTGATATTATCCCAAAACTGAATTTATACCTGAAGAGAGCTTGTTAAAATAAGATAGTCTTTTATTTGCGGCACAATCCAACTAAATCAGAACATTTGGTTTGTAAGTAAAGTTCATTTCTTTACTATTTTGGGACAGAAGGTCACCAAAGTTGTGAACAATAAGCATAATAAAATAACAGTTCAAATCTCAATCAAAGAACCAACAATATATAGCCAACACTAAACAATATATAGCCAACACCAAACTTAAGATCTCAGTTTTCATTAAAAGCTGTAGGAAAACACAAGTCTTTACAGCCCATCAGGATGGGGGACAGTGAAGGAGCCAAACTGATATCAAGGAAGTATACTCCAGAGCTTGGCTACTACTATGGCGAAACACCTATCCCACATGCTGACAAGCAGGACTTCAGAGAAAAGCAGAATGCAGAACAAAGCTGTCACTGAAGGAATTTAACAGATAGGCAAGTTGTCTTTTGGGTATCCTGAACCCAAGCCATTCCATTTAGAGCTTTAAAGATCACAACCAGCACTTTGAATAGAACTCAGAATATAATTGGAAGCACAAAATTTAATTAAGCAAATTATAGATGCTCAAAATAACTGGGCTCTGATGCAGTCTTGTAATAGTCTAACCTGGATGCAATCAAAACAGTGATATGTGACAGTGGTCAGATCTGCCTTCTTCATGAGGAGCTGCAGTTCATGCACCAGGCATAGTTGGGCAAAAGCATTCTTGGCTAGGAAAGCCAGTTCCAGGAGGGTCCCAAACTGCACACCTGATCCTTCAGAAGGGGTGCTATTCCATCCAGATCAGGGGAAATAACCTTCTCAGTATCAGAGTTCTTACTGAACAAAAGCACCTTGTTTTGTCTGAAACAAGTTCCACATCCAAGCCATCCAAACCAGTGAGTTCAGACAGTAGATTTGGGCAGCACTTTTTTTCTGAGGGTGCTCCAGAGTATGCAGTACCAGCACTGATTTTCCCCAGTGTTAAAAGTGTGACATTTACTGTAACAACTTCATAGTGAGTACCGTCATATTTCCCCCCTTAAGCACTTGGTTTGGGTATCATACTGCTGTCAGATCATTATAGATATCTCTTGGTGATTTCATTTAGAACTAGAGTGGGAAACAACCTGTCCAGATGCTGTTGGACTCCACTGTCCATCAACCCCAGCCAGCATGGACAGTGGTTAGGGATAATGGGAGTTGTAGTCCAACATATCTACACCTTAGGCGTGTCACAATAATATATATTAAAAATTGACCTGATCCCCAAACACATCTCTGAACTAAAGATAGCTCCGAGTCCTTAAAAACATGAAGACTACTAATGTAACTGTAAAGGACTCTTGGGGCAACATGGACCCTTGAGAAATCTTGCTCCCTCAAAGTGCTGAACAGCACCCCAACACAAACTTCTGGCACCTAACTTTCAGAGCGGATCAGACCCAGCGAAATACAGTGCCATAGCCTCAATCCAAAAAGGTGGTCCAGAAGGATATATCATTGGTCAATGGCACCAAATGCCATTGAGAGGCCCAGCAGAACTAAGAAGTTTGCTGTCATTGTGTCCCAGTCATCAAGAATGGCATTTTCAGTTCCCAAATCAGGTCAGAACTCTGGCTAGAATGAGTTAAGATTATCTGCATCATTTGTCTGCACCTGGAGCTGGGTAGCCAACACATACTCAGAAACTTTGCCTCAAATAGGGGAATGGAAACTGTCTGATAGTTATCCAAAGTGGAGAGATCCAGAACTGCTTGTGTTGTTGTTGTTGTTTTTTAAAAAAACAAAACCAATTTTACTACTCCTTCATTCAGATTGTATGTGCCCTCACAAAGGGAGGTATTTAATATCGCTTCCTTTACCCATCAGCCACTCCCTGTTAGCTTTTAAGTAGCAAGGGTTAAGAATGTATGTGGTCAGCCTCAAAGTGAAACTGTAAAGCACTGTAATTCCATGGATTAAAAGATCAACATTTAAATGGTTTTTGTGGATTGTGGTTCCAATTTACAATTTAAAGAACATAGCACAGTTCACTGTTTTATGCCAGTGAAATCCCCATTGCTTAAATAAGAGGGACCATAGCATTGCACATGCTTTGCAGGCAGAAGGTCCTACATTCAGTTCATTGCATCTCCAGTTAAAAAGCTCCAGTTAGCAGATGGGTGGGGGGTGCACAATGGAGCAAAATGTGATTTTGTATCCCTTTGTCTCCCATGTGGGCATGCACACAATTTCATCTCTATTCTAGGGTTTTTTAAATCCCTGGGAAGTCCAAACCTCCCCACACTGGAGAACCTATGTTTTTAAAGAAAGAACAGTCTGGGACAACACTGGGATAGGAAGGACATCTTGTGGATGCCCCTACAATACTGAAGAGATGGTCAAGTACAAAACCATATTTTGCTCTGAGATGGCCAAGCCCATGAAGGGAAATATCTGTGACCCTGGAGAACCGCGACCAGAATAGACAATGCTAGGCTAGATAGAAAGTCTGACCTGGCAGCTTCCTAATGAAATGATCTAAATTCCAGATCAGAAATAATAAAATGACACACCCCTCCAAAATTCCCTATCTAAAATCTATCTGAACAGCCCCTTTCTTTCCAAATCCATTTTCCTCCTTGTGAAAACCTTTGTTCGATCACTGTTGGAAGCCATAGCGGTAAAGAAAAAGAATATGATAGAAGGTTGGTCAACTTATAGAAATTTATTAAAACAAGAGGGAGGAGAGTTTAAATTAAAAGAATTTAAAGATTTATCAGGAATACAATGGATACAATATCATCATTTGAATAAAGAATTTAAGAAAGATATGAAACAAGGGTTTGGGGAACAGATATCACAACTGAAGAGAGATCTGTTGGAATATGTTAAAATGCTGTCTAAAATGTATAAGATATTATTGGATTGGGAGACAAAGGATGAGCAAGTAAAATCTTCAATGATACATTGGGCAATAGATATTCGTTATAATATAGATATGGAAGCGTGGGCACGATTGTGAAATATGGATATAAAATTTACAGCATGCTATGGTTTAAGAGAAAACTATATGAAAATGTTATACAGACTGTATCTAGCACCAAGCAAACTAGCAAAAATGTATAAATCAAAATTGAGTAAGTGTTGGAAATGCAAAGAGAAAGAAGGTACCGTACTTTCTATCATATGTGGTGGTCTTGCAGTAAGGTTAAAGCTTACAGGGAAATGATATATAATGAATTGAAAAATATGTTTAGAATAACATTTGTAAAAAAAAAACCCAGCAGCTTTCTTTTTGGGAATTATAGAGGTAGAACTACCTAAACAGTATCAAAATTTATTCATGTACGCAACTACGGCCACAAGAATGTTATTTGCCCCCAAATGGAAACAAGGAGTAATCCCAACGAAAGAAGGATGGATACAAATACTTATGAACTATGCAGCAATGGCGAAACTTACCATAAGAATAAGAAATCAAGATAACAAACATTTTTATAAAATGAAGGAAATGGTTTATTGAATATATGCAAAGAAATTGTAAACAGATACGGACATTGGCAGGATTACTGTAATAACGTGCAGTTTCATAAGAGTAAATAACTGAAGTAGATGAATAAAAGAATAAGTTAATTTAGAATATGCAGGAAATGATAAAAGGAACCGCAGAAAGAGGGAGTTATGAAATGTTAAAATGACTGTAAAACGATTGAAATGTATATAACTGAAAACCATATTATTATTTTTTGAAAAACACCTTTGTTCAATAGTAGCCTCCCCAAATTATCCTACAACTAATCATAAATTCTGAGTCCACAGGTTTCCCCTCAAAACTTCCCTGCCAGCTCAGGTAGCTTCCCCCACATCTCCCCCCACCCCACTTGCAATCTTCACAAAATAATTTCCTTCAATTTACCCATATCTTCTTGTACATAAAACTACCTACCCGTTTCCTCTCATGACTTTTCCCTCCCAGCAGAAAACCTTTTTGACGAATCCTCTCCCCCCCCCCCTTTTCTCTACACAAACTACCTCTGAAAGGCTCCCAGTTGCACCACCCTCCCAATTCATTATCACTTTCTTTGGACCCTCACAATACGGCTTTTAAAGCGCCCCCCCCCCAATACTCCTCCAACGGCTGAAAATTGAACGCCTCCCCCCGCCCCGTTTCGCCTCACAAAATCCCCATCCCTCCGCCGACAGTTACTTAACCCCGCCCCCTTCTCGCCTGGCCCCGCCCACACCTGGCGGCTCCGCGCGCCCGCCCTTCCAGACTCCACCCTTTCCCCCCCTCCCCCGCGTGCCGTCGCCACCTATCCTTCGCCTCCAATCAAGGCGTTAAAACACCGAGCCCAGGGCGTGGCGGGCGGGAGAGGAGGTCTCTCCTCCCCCCCGCCGCGGCCAATGAGGGTCTCGGGGGGCGTGGCCTGTGTCCATGGGGATCAGGGCTGGGCTCCGGCAAGGTCTCTGTTCACCCCTATTGTTCGTTGGAGCGAGTCACTCGGCGCGGGGTGGAGCGGAGCGAGAGGCGAGCAGGGCGGTGGCGACGGGGCCGGCAGGTGGGTCGTCGGAGGGGTAGGGGTGTGGGGGGGTGCGCGTGGGCCGAGGGTCCCTGGAGGGAAGTGGGGGGGCCGCCCTAGGTGGGCTCCTGAGGAGACGCTGGCGGGAGGCGGCGGCCCTTGGCGGGGGAAGCGGGTGGGTTTCCTCTTCAGGATAGAGGGGAGTTGCTAGGGAGGAAACTACAACTGCAAAGTAAGAACCGAGGAGGGACTTGCATTGGAGTCAGTGCGGAGGGATTTGGGGTCGGGGGGTGTGAGTGGAGCCCATGACCCGAAACTTATCTCTCCCTCCCAGGAGCAAGGCTGGTGGGCAAAGGTTAAGCCTTGTGGTGCTTTTTCGGGTGGGAGCAAGGGAGCCAGCCTCCTGTGAGTCACAGAAGGGTCTTAGCGAGGACTGGGAGTGCCCTGGCGTGGGTGGGCGAAAAGGTCCCGGGGGCGGGTGGGGGTCGTATTGTGGGGCTGGGGGACAGGCAAGAAAGCGTTAGCGCCTTAAGGGCATCTAAGGCGTGTGCTTTCTGAGGAGGAGTGGGGGGTCACCGTTATGGGGACTGCATCTGTGGGGTTGTTTTTTGTAGAGCCCCCCCTTTTTTGGATTAGAAGGAGGCGAGCTGGATAGGGAGGGGCTGCCTTCATGGCCCCCTGTTGGTCTAAAGGGGCTGTGCTGGACGGTTTTGCACTTCCAGGGGTTATGGGGCTGTTGGGTGCAACTGCCTGGATCCAAAGTGGGTCTGAAGGCGGGGGTCGGGTGGTGGGGGGTTCATGCAGTGTGAGGACACGGGGGTGCAGCGCACAAGGTTGTGAGGTGGACTAGTTCGGGAGCAGATCAGGAGACAGTAAGCTGGAAATAGCAGCGAGCCCATGGGGGGCTGCAAAGCATATTGAGGGATGGGGAAGGAATCGTCCTTGAGTCCTAGGCTGGGGTTATGGGTCAGTGGGGGAGAGATTCAAGGACTGGAGAGAAAGGCTGACAGGGAGGATTTCTGTTATGGCTAGGGATGGGGGGTCGGGATGGATGTCCACTGCGGGAAGTGTTTCCTGAAGTTGAGAAGGGCAAACCATTAGAGATTGTGGATTCAGGGAGTTCCCTCTGGTGGGAAAGGGAAGGCAGTAGATGGCTAAACTAATTGGGGCAGGGAATCACAAGAAGATCCTTTAGTTTGGAGTTGTGCTTGTTTCTGTTTGGGGGTTGGTGCCCTTGGAAATGTCATGGGTTTTTGTCTCCAGAATAATGAGGAACGCTGGCAGTATGAGTGAAAGCAAATATGCTTGTTTACATGGGATGAGGAAAGATCATGTTTGTGGCAAGTTGGGTGAATTTTATAGGAAAGTTGGGGTTGTGTCTTTGACTTGGAATTTTGCAAGAATCTGCTTTCCTAAAATTGTGGGCTTTTGTGTCTTGCACTGGACTGAACGTCAAGGCATAAATAGTCCATGTTTCTATATGTGACAGTTCGGTAGCATTCTGTTTGGTGGTGAAGGGAGTTAAGCTTGTCTGTACCACCTGCCTGTGTCCAGCTGAAAAGTATGTACCGTTTAAAGTAATGTGTGATTTAACAATATTCCTATGTGACTAAGGAGTGGCAGTCTCCTTGGTACTTTTCACATTTATGATTTTAAAGAGCATTTGTGGAGTTTGTGTCATGTATTCCCCTGTTGTATGTTGCAGTTTCGTAATGCCTCTCCCAGACACGCCCTTTGATCAGTGTTGTCCCAGAAGCAAATTACTCACCATCCCTCAGCCATTTTAATAGAATTCTTTTGAAGAAAGAAGCAATTCTGTACTCTCATTCCCTATAAAGTGCAAGTAATTAAAGGAGTTAATATGATGGCCATTGGGATTTCAGGCATACTTGGGATAACTGAATGTCTGTTTCTTTAAGCTGTGGAACTGCTCACAGAAATCAGCAACAATGCCTTTCCTAATTGTCTTGGTCAGAACAAAATAATCAGATTATTCTTCCTTTTAACGGCAAGTAGGTACAGAGATGTGAAGACCCTCTGCTCCTTTCAAAGGCTCTTCCCTACCTCACCAAATCTCAGTGTGATATAAACCTTAGCTTACTGTGGAGAGACCAACAATATGTCAATTGATTTCTGATGACTTCCAGGAAGTAATTTTGATGATCTTTGAAGGGCCTCTTAGAGTGCCTCTAAATGTGCTCTGCAATTAACTGTTTTGATTTGAATATCAACTGTTTCTGCATTAATATGGATATAAGTAATGTCTCAGGTTCTAGAACTACAAGCTCTCCTTACAAATTACCTAGATTCCCCTTAATGTGGAACAAAGCTAAAGTTATGTTATACAGGGTAATAGGCTGTTGGAAAGGGGAAACTGGATTTTTACCAAAATTGGCACCCTTAAACAAATGTTCCCAGCACTGGGCGCTTTGGAAAACTGTGTTATTTAAGAGACTAGTGAAGTGATCACAAAATTGTGTGAGAATCTCTGAGATGAACAAATCTCCTTTATTAGCTGTCAGAATTCCCAACTGGGAGGGGCTGCTATGTATGGTGCTGGTATGTAATCATTGTGCTTCTCTCTCAAGCAAGTTTGGAAAGAGAAAAATGGACTTCACTGTAGCTGTGGAATTGCTATTAGTTACAGGAGGAGGTATATTCTTGTGTGAACCTGACTCTTCCCGTGCCCACTGTTTCTTGGGCACTCTGTTAAAAAAGCAAACCTTCTGTAGATGAAGGAAAGTTGCCTATTGCTAGGCCTATTGCTTAAACCATTAGTGTCTTGACATGTTTGCTTTCTGACATAGCTGTGCTATTATTGTTTTAAAAGACCCAGAATGCCAGACATTTTGCTGCTTTGTCTGTATGCTGAGTGAGTCATGTGGGAACCTTGGTGTGTTTCACAAGAAGCTGGGCGGTGTTCTGGTAGAGGGAAACTGGAAACCAAGAAGCCACTGAGGAGCCTGTCTTGTTTGCGTATCCTGTCTCTTCCATTTCCCCCCACTCATACTCAGCTGTCTTCTTACCAACTTATATAATGGACAGATTGTGTGTATGAGCAAACAGGAATGACACTCTTGTGATTAGAGAAAAGGAAGTGGGCACTTGCAGCTAAGATTTCATTTTCGAGGGTTTGTGGTGGAGCTCCTGTATGACCTTGGAATAAGCAGCTGTACTTAACTGTGCATGCTAGGAAGATTATATATTACTTTCAGTGTGCAAGGAGCTGGTATTGTGCATTAAAGAGAGACCCCATGTTCTGTGGACGGAAAAAAATAATTATTACACCCTAACCAGATTTGTGTGAACTTTGGTTTTGTAAGCCATCTTTGAATTCTTCTTATTCAGGTTGGGCTCGGATACTGGGAGCTGGACTAGAATTCCTGAAGCTGATATGATCCTGAAAATAGTATGTAGTTTGTTAGTACCTGGGAGATGAAGGGCCGCATTTCACCTCTGCTTTGAAGTTATCCAGTACCTCTGGACCACCTGCATGTCTTCTCAGTTCTGTAATCAGAAAATGGGGTTGTTACATTTTTTTCTTGTTGTCCTCACTTAGCCCATAAGTGCTTCACAGATGATTAACAACAATGATAGTTGCACCAGTACTACACCATAACACCCCCCCCAACTTTTGTATTTCTAATCACCTGGTTTTTAGATATGTAGTTCTTACGTATATTCCGCGGAAGTGTGCTTGTAGCATTTCCCCCCTACAACTATAAGGGCCTGGAATTTGAAACAAAATGTGCAAATCTCAGGGTGTTCCATGCTGGAGCTGTTGCGATATGTGTTGCCGCAATGATGGCTAAGCATGCTTCTCTAGACACCGCCTCTCTTGCTTTGTACATAGCTCCCTGGGAGATTTGAGCAGAGGAGCCTATAATGTGGTTCTTGGATTCTGATTGCTATCTGAATGCCTGCATTCATAAGCCAACAAGAAGCTTGCTTTTGAGCTCTGGCAGTGTGCACACATCTTCTGGTGATATTTGTTTTAAACTTTACTGATGCTCTGACATTTGGAAAGTTGTGTTCTCTTCCCCCCCACAACCCACCCCAATTTCCTTGGACATGTAAAGTTTTTAGATGTCCTCAGCCTGAAGGAAACTGCTGAATTTGAGTTGGGGATTCTTTTATATGCTGCTGCCTTTTAGTCCTGGCAGAGGGTGAGGCGAAGGGTGTTCTAATTGCATTAGCCAAATGATTCGCTTAATTAATCAGGCTTGCAGCACAGATGAAAGGATAAGACTGGGAGTTGCCTGGGAAAGGAAAAGCTGCTCATAATAAGGTGCCAGAGAGAGAGAGAGAGAGAGAGAGAGAGATCCAATCTACATGGAAGATCACTTTAATAAAATGAATGCAGGCATGTATGTGCAAGTGCTACTATGTGCCTCCTCAAAGAGCCAAGCAGGTCTTAAATTTGACTCCCAAAATCAAGACAAACCAGTATGCAAGAGTCTTCACCAGCATTTAGGTTCTGCACATAGATTTTTGTAATGGTCTTTACAGCTATGGCTCTCAAAAACTTTAGGATGTGGCCGAAAGGTCATGTAAGTTATTCCCACTATCCCCCTGCTTCCCTGCTTAATGTTTTCTGTGGTGCCATATAACTATGTTTTTAGCTTGAATGCTTCCTACTCTCTGTTAGGGTAATGCTGGAAGGTGAAGTCTTAAGTTTGCTAAACGATGATTGTAGTGAAAATGTGGGGGTATCTGGACAGAATATGGCTGCTTTTACTGCAAATACAACTTGCTCCATTTAAAACACACACACACACACACACACACACACACATCAGTGGACCAGCTTCCTTTCCGAGGACCTCAATGTGGTCATTATTATGGTTTGTATTATTGGGCTCATCATAACTGGGAATCCTGAAGAATGTTTGTCTTTTAAGTCTTTCATTTTGAACATTTATGCAAAAAAAATAAAATCATCACATTCAGAGATTAAGTCAATTATACTGATGCAGCTTGTTCAAATAAATATTTCTGTATTTTAAGAATGTATTAAAGTACTTTTTGTATTGGTGGACATGCCTCTTTGTGCTTCTCATTTGGCACCAGAAAACAGCCCAAAGTGGGTAATAATAAATTTTATTTATATCCCGCCCTCCCCAGCCGAAGCTGGGCTCAGGGTAGAAAAGGTCTAGTTACCTGGGCTAAGTCTGCAATCCAAAACTGAACTGCCGCACAAGTGAGGACTTGGTTGTGGTGGTCTCCCTCTGCCCAGGTCAAAACAGCTCCACCAGCCTTTGCCTGTGGATTGATACTGGCATCACTCCCCTGGAGCTCCCCATTGTGTCTTCCAAAAGGGTGGACAGAAGTACCACTGGTGGCTTTTCAGAGCCCTCAAATGGGGCATTTGAGTAGGAGCTGAGCTGGCTTTGGACTCAGCTGCCATCATTTGAGGGCATCAAGTCCAATCGCTATGGCTGCTCCAAGACGGCATAGCACAGACTATGGCATGCGTGGCAAGACACCACCCTACCACACTCTGCCGGTGCGCAGCTAGGATTAGGATTGCTCCTGCCCATTGCACATTATGCTCATGGTAACGTAGTTGTGTGACTTCATTCCTGTGAGCAGATTATACCAAAAATGCTCGGCCTGTGTGCACATTTAATGGAAATAAATAATGGCCAATCAGTTAAACTATGCTTAAAACACGTGGAGACCACATTTTGCGCTTTCCTGAGAAGGCTGTGAAAGTGCACCTGCCTTGGCCTTTAAACTGATTAGGGTGACGTACATGTGCTGGATGAAATGGAAATCATATAGGTTTGAGTTCAAGTGCTTTGTTTCCCAAGGTGTGGCCCTCCTAGAACAAGTCATACCTGATTTCTGCCTTGAAGGGGAAAATAAGCGTCATATAACATTCTTTATGTTGTTCCAAAACAATTGGGAGATGCTAGGAATTTGTCCTAATTGCTTCAGCTTTCAGGTTCTTCATCGGTGAGTTAGCTGGATCATCCGGCATAGTAGTCTGTAGGGACAGGGAACTATGTACCTGAAGCATCCTAGTAAACTCCTTAGCATGTTGGTTGATGCTATTTGGAAGCTATGCCAGATGCTATGCTGTACTGTTTGCATTGGAATCACAGCAGTAAAATTGGTTCACCTGAAGTTTTTGCAACTGCAGTGACACATGCGTGTTTGCTTCTCTGTCTAAAATCATAGATGCATTATAGGTTTGATCAAGGAATTTCACAGCTAGAACAAACAGCTTGTAAGGGACAGCGCTGTGGTAAGGTTAAAAGCTGGCAGTGGTAATACCTAGTGAGTTGAGCATCTTGAATGGAAACACATAAATTTGCAAGTCAGTGCATGAACAACATGGCAAACATATGTGGAATCATTACATATTATTTCAGAGTTGATAAGCAGAATGTCAGGATAGCTTTTCCTAAGTGTTGCAGCTAATTTTGTGAATGGTTATACTCATGGTAACTTTAATTGTTTTATTCAGTATAGCCATTCTGTCTCTTAATTAAGATAGAATTCTTTATGCTGTCACATGAATCATGTTCTCTTTCTATCTTCCTGAATGGTGAGCCCCTTCAGGAATTTTTTGCTGTTTCCTTTGCAAAAGGCCAATACCCAAGATTTTCCAGGGTACGTACATTGGAATTTGGTATCATAACAAAGACCTTGAGACACATACAATAAAACTGTAGAGCTGGGCTACCTGTAACATATAAAATAGATGCATTGAGGCAGATGAGGCGGTCAGCATTTCAGAGTTGTCTCCAGTAATTTGGTTTCACTTTCTGTTAAGACTTTGCCCTGGCTTCTCCTTTGGAATGAAATGTGTTAGATCAGAAATACTATGTTACCATATTCGGGGGGGGGGCGTAATATGTGTGTTGCTGGGACTGGTTACTTCCTTTTTAACTCTTAAGAGCCAATTGTCACCTTATGGGGCACCTTATAGTAAACAGGTAAACACGGCAATATTTGATGGATAACCTCATGTCTGTAATCATGCAGTAGATAAGGAGCTCAGGAGCTGTTGCCAGTTGCAGCTTCCAGTTTGTGTGCACAGCATGCATTTATCAAAAGTGGGAAATGTGTGTGACGTGAATTAACCTCGCAGGTGTTGGCCCTAGTGAGAGTTTGTACCATTCGGATTCAAGAGCTGTTTCTGCCGCTCTCTGATAACTGAATGGGAGAGACATAAATGTCTCCTTGACATCCGGCTAACAGCTTGGTAAAGGTTAATGTTTTGTTAGCCTTATGTATTTAACTTGCATTAATTGCTACAGGTATCTCTTTGGAGAGGATATTGACTAAAGTTAAGCCCTTTCTCCAAATTGACACACCAGTTTTGTTTCTTTGGCAAACATTAGTACAATTCCTAAATTGAGAGATGCCTGTAGAGTATTAAGAGCCATGGCATCAGTGCTAAACACCCTTTTTGGGATTAGGATGGAAAGAGCATCTCCCTTGTTTTAAAACATATATTAAAACCTGTGATTCGTAAATGAATAGATGGGTCTAACAATGGATGCAATGAAAGCTTTCTGCCCATCTCGTACTTTGCTGATGTTTATCAAAGTAGGCTGTAAAAAGCACAGAAGACTCAATTAAGCTGTCTCTGGAAATGTGGACCCTGTAATTCCTCAGCTTGGAAAGCTTCCAGACAATGTCATGAGAAATCCATTTCCCTGCAAATTTGTCTTAAATTAACTTGGCTGCTTTTAGTTTTCTAGGGAGCACAATAATACTTTTTTACTCTGGTGATAGTTTTGACAGTTTCAATAGGTGATTGATTTCCTAGCAAGCAAAGGGTCAGAAAGGAATGATTCTTTATTTGAGGGGCAAACTCATCTTAATTGCGGCAGCAGCAAGCTTTTTCCTCTAACTGGTCTTCCAGGAAAGATGTTTTGAAGCCCAGAAAACATCTGGGCATCATAGAAACATGCACGGCAGCCACTTCTGAACAATAGATTTTTTATGGTCTATTGTCTCAACAGTCCATGTTATGGGTGTGTCCATGGTTAAAGGCTATTGCTGAAAAGGATATCATGTGAACATTTAAGAGGAATACCAGCTACAAACTGTCTGGCACATCTTCCTTAATTGTAGGCTAATGTATTCTAGGTTTACAGACCACTTTTGTTCCTAAGGCTGTGGGTTTGTAATAAGAAATGTGTATCTCTGCTGTCTCTGCATCAGATTAGGAAAATGGAGGCCATGAAAAATCCGAGCAGGTTAAGATCACAATCTTAAATCATTTAAACCATTGGACTCAGAATGTCAAAGTCTAGACTTCACGTGCTAATATTTTTAATGTATTTGAATTGGGTTTTCTCGCATATGAAATGTTTTAATATGGGGGTGGGGGTCAGCTACTGATCTGATAGAAGGTTCGGATTTTGAAGAAACATGCAATCATGACAGCGATTGGCCTGCTGGATGTGTTTGTGTCTTTGTGTGTATCATTTTCCATTCTTCCTTTTGCACTTCCATGCAAATCAATTCAATGCTGCCCTGTAGGCTACTATACTCCCCCCAGGGTCATTGGAGGAACCACAGTGGAAGGGTTGTTAAAGTATCTGAAAATAACTGTTCTGGAGAATACCGCACCTTCCCTGTTCCCAAGTTCATTCCCTAAAAGCACGACAAACTTTTTCAATAGGAAAATAGGTTTTGTTTCTAGCTTCCATTAACACTCAGTGGATCTTTGCATGTGTGAATCCATAAAATAGTTAATGCTAAAGATATGATGGTGGGGCCAAATGGTATGCCAAAAAAAAAAAAAAAATGTTATGTAGCAGTGCACGTCCTTAGTCATGGCCTGATGAACTGGTTTCTGGGATCATGGCTATACCTGATGAACGGATGATGATGATGATGTTTTTATTTATTAAATTTGTGTACTGTCCTTCATCCATAGATCTCACAACATAAAATTACAATATAAAACCCACAAAATGCATAATAAAAACATTAACAAAGAGAACCCAATAAGGTCTCTCTTTTTTTTTTAATGATATTTATTGAAATTTTTTTAGAATTACAAAAGAAAACAAGGTAGAAAAAGAAAAAACAAAGAAAAAACAAACCACATCAAACAATACAAATTAATCAAAAGACAAAACCCACAAGACCCAATAAGGTCTCTTTCCACAACACATTTAAAAGGGCATCAGATGCCAGTCAGCCAAAGGCCTGGTTAAAGAGGAATGTTTTTGCCTGGTGCCTGAAGGTATATAGTATTTATTTTTAGGGTTGTATTCAGTGCTGCGTATATGGAATTACATTTACAAGCATACCTTAGAGATATTGCAGGTTTGGTTCCAGACCACCGCAGTAAAGCTAATATCTCAATAAAGCGACTCACACAATGTTTTGTTTTGTTTTGTTTAGCAGTGCATATAAAAGTTATGTTTGTACTATATTGTAGTCTTATTAAGCCAGGCCAACCCTGGCTTCAGGGGCGGGAGGGCAAAAACCCAGCTCTACTTCTGTTGCCAGAAGAGGGGAGGCAACAGGGAGCTTCCTTTGAAGAGCTCTTAATACAGGAACAAGCCTTTTATTTTGCCCACCGCATTCCCAGTTCAGGGCTGGGGAAAGCAGAATACATTTGGGGAACAGCAAAAAGCTGAGACTGCATTATTGTAGCTTCACCTACTCAGCCATGTGATGGATAGATGCACTTGCATAATAAATGGTGGGCAGGTGTTCTGTGCAAAGTGGGCAGGAGCTGCAGTAGCCCATGTAATACAATCACATCACAATGTAGGCAAGTGTATTACATAGCAACGTGGGAGCAACTTTAGCTGTGTCCTAGTCTTTAATTTTGTTGAATTCCCCCCCTCCCCCAATGTTTGGTTGCTTTGATCTGGATGGTAGAAGGGAATACGATATCTTTATAAATGTGTAGCGAGTGAGTAAATTGCTGAAATCCTTGGCCATCTACTTTGGGACTGTGTACATTTTTAGTGGCTTGGCTCCAAATAAGCTCCTTCTCCCGCCAAGCCTTTGGCAGCTTGTTGCTGACTGTTGGGACAATCCTTGCTAAGGATCATAAACGGTACCAAGTCTGCTCAGATCTAGGGATGCGCCTTCACTGTCTTGTCTAGCCACATGGTGCGAACGAACCCAAAGAAACAAGTGGCATTCAAATGGTTTCTGTGAACACTGGGAGGCCTTTCAGAAACTGCATGTCAGAACAACTGCACTTTATTAAGGCTGTTCAGTACAGCCTTCTCTGATACCAGCAGGTTGTTTGGAAAGCCGAACCTTAATTTCATTTGCAGTTAGGGTGCTGTTTTTCCTTGTATATAGGGTTTACTTCCTGTTATGCTGCCAGACCCAGTAAAGTCAAAGGTTCTATATATAGCTCTGTATTTTGTTTGGAGGTGTGTGGACATGTAGTTAAAGAGAGGACACAGTTTTTTGTTTTGCTCTCAGTTCTGTGTCTAGAAAGCATTTTTTGGATGCAGGCTTGTAGTCTTCATGGCTGTTGAGACTAGGGCTGGATTTCCATTGGCCATTTCATAACCCCTGGAAGGAAAAGGCTGCCTCACATAATTTTCTTGCCACTGTATAAGCTACCGATCGACTTTGCATAGTTGCAATATTTGGATTCATCCAGTGTCCAGACTGGCTAGCAGCTTTGTCTTCCCTGTGTCTTTTGGCTTGACTTGGCTTGCTTGACTCATGGAGTGGTTGCTTTCAAATGTTCTAATGTGCACTTTGCATGTGGGGTCTATTTATTGATGCTGTTTGTGTGTGTACTGGCATCCAAGTGGTTGTCTGTGCATCAGATGGCTTCTCCTCATGATTGAATTTTCCTCTCTACCTCTCCCCCATTTTCCAAGTTGCCTACCATGCCTTTCTTCTACAAATACCCAGTTCATTTAAGTAAGTTGAGTGCAAATGAGTATTAACATAATGAATTTGAGCTCAGAATTTCCCTTGACTTCCTCTCCTATTGGAGGCTTAAATTTAGGTGTTTTGGTTGCACAAGATAAGTGTCCTCCCCAAGAGTTATGAAGCAAGTTTCAGGGCATGGAGGTCATGTGACTCATTTCAAAGTCATGCGGTGTCACGATGACTGGGCTGCTGGAAGTATGTCTTGCATCTTAGACCCACAGGACCATACTGTTTGCGACTTAATACGTTGCTCCCCGCTGTAAGTTTTCTTAGCCCTTTGGTTCACATTCATCCTTGAGATGATGTGCAACAGTCCCAGAAACCCTGATACTGCTTCAGTGGCCTCACGCAGTGATCGGTGTTCTCTCAACTGTCATGCTGTCTCTGCGTTGCATCACATGTACAGCACACAGACTGCAGGAGTGATCGGAGCCTGTCAGCTGCACTTATTTTGATGGTCGAAACACCTCTTTCTTTTTGCTCACCCATGATGTGGTAGCAGAAGCTGCCTGCAGAAGGCCAAGTTGGGGAAGCGGAGCCCAGCTGGGCCCATGCTTACATAAAGAGTTGCTTCAGTTTCCGATTTCCACTGCACTTTCACTCCTGAACTGTCCTTTTTCTCTTAGAGGAATTCAAGGGAGAGGGAACAGGAATGCAAACTTATTTTTAAAAGGAGCTGTTATTTCTGCTCTTAAACTGTTGGCTTATGTGTGAACATTATTGGATATGGCCCCATTCTCTTATTGAAAATGTGTGTGACTGCTTCTCTAGAAAGCATATCTAGAGAGACACTGGGATAGCCACAGTACAGTGGTACCTCTGGATACGAACAGGATCCGTTCCGGAGCCCCGTTCGCATCCTGAAGAGAATGCAACCCGCGTCTGCGTGTGTGCAGGTCGCAATTCACTGCTTCTGAGCGTGATGTCATTTTGAGCGTCTGCGCATGTGCAGACGGTGAAACCCGGAAGTAACGCGTTCTGTTACTTCCGGGTTGCCGCGGAGCGCAACCCGAAAACACTCAACCTGAAGCAACTTTAACCCAAGGTATGACTGTATTTCATTTAGGACAGTCTTCTCCACAGGAAGAAAAGGGTGCAGGACTGGTGAACTGTCTGTCTCCAGTACCTAGTGTATTTCACACAGAGTTTGGGTGGTGGTGGATCTCTGGCTTTCCAGCAAATCCTTTAATTTCTGATAAAGATTTGTTTGGATTTTTCCTATTCCTGAAGTGGTTGGTTAAATAGCTTGTTAGTGTGCGTAAATTTGGTAAGGAACATGGGTGTTTAATCGCTCCCAGGACTCCTTCCTCCCTTCCTTTATATAGGCAAATCTAGCCAGCTGTGGGCTGACTTCTGTGGCGTGCAGAAGTCTAATATGGTACTTTGTGCAATGTGGTTTTGCTTCTCATCAGAGCATCTTGCAAGCACCTGCAAGCTCCAGGCTTTCCCTTAATTCATCAGGGCAAATTCCACCCAGTCCATCCAAGAGGTCCTGTGCATATTCTCTGTCAATGTTTGCTGTGTGTTGTTGTGAGTTTCAGCAGGGAAAAGCTTGTAGAAAGAAATGGATAAAGCTAGAAAAGAACTCAATAGGCTGTATGAATAACCCAGAGAGGCCATTGCAACTTAAGGATTCTGTGAGTAAGTTTGAACTAAGACTACAGCCCTGTATGCCCACTTGTGTTTGGGAACTAGGCCCCTTTAATGATTAAGTGGGGCTTCCTCTGAAGCTAAGCAGCATACTATATATTACTTTACTTCAGTTGTGGGGCAGCTTTCTGCGTGAGGCTCACAGGCACAATGTTATAGCAAGGTTCTGTGTGTCTTCGAATCTGGACAGCTGTCTTCATGAGGAAAGAATACCACACTTGGGCAGCTTTTCTTTATTCTTTTTGACTTGGTATCTACTGCCCTAATGTCTCTCCCCCCCCCCCCCCGGCAAAAACCCCAAACCTCTAGGATTGCAAGCCTCAATTGGTTGAACCAAGCTTTGTTAGGTGAGCATTTCCAGGGACGGACTTTCACAGTCTTTCATAATATGGCACCCTGTGCGAGGCCAAAATTGGTGCCCTCAATGGATCATCTCAATTTTGTTTGTCCTTGGCTCAGTGCCCTGTTTGCTGCAGGAAAGTTAGAGTCTCTGTTCTTCCACCAGTGGTCCATAGGGCCAGACGTGTATCTTGTGGGGCACCCCAGTTTCCTCACAGATGGTCAGGCTCTCTCATAAAACTGGTGTCACCTGTAATTATGGGCTTCACAATTACCAAGCGTGTGTGTTTTCGTGCAGCTGCTACCTTATATAACCCAAATGGAGATAATGGCATTAAAATATAGATTGTTGACTTTTTTTTTCTTGAGGTGGGCAAAAGTCTTCATTCCGATTTGTTAGGGCCTGTGGGGAACAAATACTTTTGTGGACCATATCCATCTGTTTACAGCCCTTCCTGAAGTAATACAGCCTTTCCTCTTATTCCTGTGGTATGAAATGTGGTGATTTTGCATGTTGCATGGAGAATTACAAATCAAGTGAAAAAGACCCCAAATCTTCAGCGTGCACTCAGCCATACTTGTACCTTATTGGTTTTCTAAGAGAGTTTCAGATGACAATCGGTTGTTTAGCTTTGAAGTTTTATTATTTCCCTCAGCATAGCACCCTGCTCTTGCCTGAGATGCGCCTGACAAATAGAAGCCGCCTCCCTCCTGTCTCTTGAGATAATGTATATTTCATAAAATGGCTCTGCTGGGGGAAAAACACATCAGGAGACGCCAAGATGTTTCTAATTAGATAGAGGTTTGAAAGATCTGTTTTAAATCTGCCATCTTTGATTGGTTTTCTCCCTCCCCCCTGCATACCCTGCCAGGCCTGTAGGCATTTCATAATGCTTCAGTCATTTCATTCTTAAATGGCTTTCAACAAACAGGGCGGGAGGAGATTTTAAAAGCCGAGGCTCCTTAATACAGACGCGATTGCATGCAGACGTATGGGCTTCATTTAACTAGCACTGTGGTGGTTTCTGCTTCCTGACGCAGAGCATGGTTTTATTGCTAAGCATCAAGTCAAGACATCTGGATTCTACCCTGCGTACTTCTTGACATTTAACTGACAGCTAGAGGGAGGGGGGTTGTCATACTTCACACTTGGATGACCAAAACCCGGCTACTTGTGAGGACCTGTAAATCTGAATCTCCATAATTTTCTCTTGTGGGTTTGGGAGACAGTTGAGCCTAATGCATTGCTCTTTGACTCTAATGACCCAGTTGTCCTAGGTGGCCTTTCCTAAGGTGGTTCAAACCTCAGTGGTACCATGCTCATCTTTGGAAGAAAGAGGAGAGCCTGGGGAAAGCAGGGAGTCAGTTTTGTTGTGGAAGATACAAAATGCACCCCATGCTGTAAGCTGATACTAATGGTAGGACCTCTGGTCTGAAAAGCTTGAAGGCAGCTTGTGTGGGATAGAGAATCAGGATAAATGGTTAACCCAAGGCCAGAAAAGGCATCGTAGAGATGCAGAAATGTGGGAGTGAGCTTTCAAAGGAAAGGAAAGGAAAGGAGTTTGTGGCTGGATGCAGAAGAGGGTAGGAAGCAAGTACAGGAACTTCAACAGGCCTAGATGACATGATGTAAATTTTTAGGTGCTCAAGCCGCTAGGCACTTGGAATTTCACTCAAGCCTTGCTGGGTAAACAGCATCACTTGGATGAGTTTTATTTTTGCCTTTTGTTTTGCTTGTCTTGCCTGCAACAGCTGAGACCTGCCCTTTGTCCCCCTGGGTCTCTGTCTCTTGTGAACAAGCACCTTCTCTGCAGAACCATTTTAATTCAAGCTGTAGCAGTGTCAATCTATGTGTACCCAAGTCTTCAAGCTGCCAGCAAATTTAGTAAGAAGGCAACTTGTGGCAGTATGTTGTGTGTTTTTGTTTCTCGTCTCTCCACCCTCCCCTCCACGCAGGGGATGTAGAGTGGGATTGTGAGAATAACAAAACACAGCATCTACTTTTGGTATTAATGCCAAACAAGATTAACTGCTTTTTGGCTGTATATGTGAGTCGTTAGAGAAGAGCAAGCCCATTTGTTTGAGTACATCGGGTAATTAAACTTGCATCAGCCAGTTCCCCTTGCTGGTTAAGTCCTGGCTTGCTGTAGAGTAATTTCTAAGAGGCTGTAGCTCAATTAGACCCAAGTGTTCCTGAGGAAGTCTATAGCCCTATTGCTTCCTTGATGTATGGAAAACCCCAATACCTGCAGCTGCTACTTTCTTTTCTTGAAGCACAGTGCCCCTGTTCCTGGATTCTACTTAGGCAGACTCCTGAGCTGGTTCCTATCCTATTGTCCACACCTGTGAAAGCAGGTTGGTCCATTGAATATAGAGTGTCGGATGGGAAAACAGCATGCCCAGTTCAAATCCTGGCTCATTTATGAACCTTGATGTTATTGGTCAAATAAATATTTATGGTCCTTTGTAGAACTCTTGTTTTATGGATTGGAGAAAATGACCTGCCACTATCCAGGTTTCTTTCTGAGGATTAAGATAGATCTGCCTTCCCCATCTTGCAATCCCCCAGATTTTGTCAGACTACAACTCCCAGCTAGCATGACCAGTGGTTGCTTTATTACGCAAATATCCATACATTGCTTTAACTTGGCATAATTGTGCTTCTGTTTCTTCGGAGACACTTTAGGGAGGGAATAGGGGGAAGGGAAGTATTCACTATGATTTCTTAGTAATGCTGAGGACTAGAAACCTTTTAAGAGCTGAGTTTTTCCAGCAGCTAAATTGAACACACAGTTTCTATAGGAGCATACAGATGTGTGGAATAACACACAGCCAAGCTCAATTTGTTCTCTCCCTTCTTGACTGCAAAATTCTTGCAGGTAGTAGGTAGATAGGAAGAGGTGTTAAACTTGTCTTTGTTGATGTGCCCAAGATTGGAATGGTTTCTCGTGGTGACGTTGGTGACTTTGTTGTTCCATAGTAACAGACATGATGAACGAGACATGTGCACATGTGTTCTCCTGTGTATTCATGGAGAAGATTCCCCCATTTAACGCACTTTGGACAGAAGAAAGAATTAGTCCCCTTTGCCCATAAATAGAGAAGTCTGGCAGAGCTTCATGTTCAGCCTGAAATGCTGCAATTAATCACAATAACTCCATCTGGTTTTTGTTTTTTAAAAAAGAATGCTGCCTTAAGAACACAATAATTGCAGGCCTGTACATTTTTAGACCGAGGTGTGCTTTGTGCTATTTCCATCCTGCAAAAATAAAAATGGTGTGTCCTTTATTTTTCTTATTTGTTAGATTTATATACTGCCCTTCATCAAAAGATCTCAGGGCACTGTAAAATGGCTGGTGATACACTCCCATCTCTGATTTTGCCTCCTTCCAAGAATTTTGCCATGAAATGGGTGGGGAAGGGGCACATTCAGAACACGGCTGTGTGTGTGTGTTCCATGCTTTGTAAGTTTACTATGGTGGCAAGTCTGTCTAGTGTGTAACAATGGCTTCCTGAGAAAACTCCTCCTTTGTAATGGCTAGTACAGTGGTACCTTGGAAGTCAAACAGAATCCATTCCAGAAGTCCGTTCGACTTCCAAAACGTTTGGAAGCTGCGGAAGCCATGTTGGACGTTCTGCTTCTAAAAATAGTTCACAAACTGGAACGCTCACTTCCAGGTTTGTGGTGTTCAGGAGCCAAAACGTTAGACTCGCAAGGCATTCGGGATCCAAAGTATGACTTTATAACATTATGGTAAGAGACTGGCAAAATCCTTGGTTCAAAATCTCATCTCTGCCATCATCTCATGGGTTGTGTAAAGCAAGCCACAATAGTCCACCTGCTCCCCCTTCTAGGAAAGGGTGTTGCTCAGTGGTAGAGCTCCTGCTCTGCATCTAGCTTCAGTCCTCAAGACCTCCAGGTAGGGCTGGGAAAGATACTCTGGAAAGCGGCTGCCAGTCGGTGTAGCTAATACTGAGATGGAGAGCCTGACTTGGTAAAAGGCATCATCTCCCTTCCCATCAGCAAAATAGTGGTACTAGAGTATTGTAAGGATGACCGAGGAGGCATTTGAAACTTCATGATACATGATGCACATGAAAGCTCTTTTGAATACTTTTTAAGTGGCCTTGAAGTGCTAATAAGTAGTACCTATTAATATTGCAATGAAACAAAGGCAGGTTTCTAGTCCTCGTGGTTTCTGAGGGGAGTATGATAGTATCTTACTCTCGCTAGTTCATACCTTTCCTCCTTTTGCTTTCACTGGTCTGATTTCTAGTGAAAAATTCTCACTATTAATCACCAATGTTTATCTTCCTCCAGGTGGTCTGATATCAGACCTTCATTATAGATGGGATTCTCTGGAAGATCATTTATTGGCATGCTATGTTAAGTACCCTAATATTCCATCGATAATGGGTGGTGACTTCAATGCACGGACAGCTGCCAACTGGAATGGGATAATTAAGGCCAAGTGGTGGGTATCTCCCCCCTACCCAAAATCTGATTTAATCTCTTTCACATCAAGAAGATCTAAGGACAACAGAGTGAATGAGGCGGGAGTCCTTCTTTATCAATTGGCCATTCGCATGAATTTGAACATTCTAAATGGCAACTGCCCTCCGGACGTGCCAGGTGAATTCACTCATTTGGGCACAACATCAAATAGTGTCCTAGATTATCTTCTAGTCTCAGAAGACATATTTTCAAATTTCTTTTATTTCAAAGTAGATAATGTACAATCCAGTGATCACCTACCTCTAGCGGCCAAGCTAACGCTTGACTGGCAACCGGTTAGCGGAACACACCCAATTCATGTAGGTTTAAATGCCACAGCTCAAGTAAGAGGCATTAAATGGTCCATGAAACAGGCCCAAAAATATGCAGAATTCTTCCAGAGGAATAGCTCCGAATCCCTTATTGTTTCATTGGCGGAGCTGTCTGAACCAAATAGGATACTGGAGTGGTTCTTCCACTTCTCTGCAGATTTAACTAGTTTCTTTACGATGCCGGCTCACCTCGCTAACCGAGATCAACCCAGGTTCGGTGCACCTTGGTTTGATGCCAAATGTAAGCAAGCTAGACTCTCTCTCTGTTGTATCTACAACAGATATAAAGCCTCTGGAGCTGAAACTCTCCCCCCAGAGTACTTGCAGGCCAAAATTGCTTACAAACAGGCTCAGAAGTCAGCCAAGCACGAGTGGCAGCTAAGACGTTGGCAAGCGCTGATTGCTGCCTCTAAGCTTCGCAGCTCTCGCGGTTTTTGGAATTTAATCAACAAAAGATCGAGGAAATACCCATTGACGGTTATCCCAGCCCCGACATGGGAACAATTTCTAAGAAAATATTTCTCCCAAACAGACATCTCTAACATCCAATCTGATACTCTCTCAAGTCACTTGCCCATATGGCCAGATACTGACCCGGAGGAAATAGTAGATTTAATTGCCAAACTGAAAACTGATAAAGCCCCAGGGCCCGATCTGATCCCGGCGGAAGCTATTAAACAACATCCAATATGGTGGGCTAAAATTCTTGCAAAAATCTTTGATGCAATCAATGCCACGGGCCAGATACCTACATCATGGAAGGAGTCCATCATAATTCCTATATATAAAAAGGACCACCAGAGGACCCAGGAAACTATCGTAATATCAGTTTATTATCAATCATCGGAAAAATCTACACTCGCTTCTTGCTAACCAGACTAACCCAATGGGCCGAAGATTCCAATCTGATAGGCCATGAACAGGTCGGGTTTAGACCAAATCGCGCTTCTATTGACCATGCTATAATTCTATATCATTTGGCGCGGAAATATTCTTCCCCTACTCATGGTCTTCTATGTGCCGCTTTTATAGACCTGAAGGCGGCTTTTGACAGTATCTCTAGAGAGCTGTTATGGGAAAAACTGGCAAAGTGGGGCATAGAAAAAAGGCTGTTGTGGCTATTGATTAAATTACATGAAGGGACGGCTGCTAGGGTGAGGTTAACACCTGAGGGCGATCTAACAAACTCAGTTCCAATAAACAAGGGGGTACGACAAGGGTGTATCCTTGCCCCTATCTTTTTAACCTCTATATTAGTGACATGAGGACGCCCCTAGCTGAGGCCCAAACCTCCATTCATGCACCCAGGCTTGCAGACTATCGCTGCCCCTTATTATTGTACGCTGACGATGCGGTGATCCTCTCTTATTCTCGAATCGGTTTGAGGAGGGCCCTTAAGATTTTTGCATCATATTGCCAAACAAATTTACTTACTATTAACCATTCCAAATCTAAAGTCCTACTTTTTCCAGGAGTCGTAAACTGTATAGATGGGAACTTGAGGGGAAGCCAATTGAACAAGTTTACAAATTTCAATATCTAGGAATTTACTTCCAGTATAATATGGGATGGAAAGCGCATATCACATATTTACAAAACAAGGTGAAAGCCCTTATCTACGCTATACTACGCTTCTTCTTTACTGAGGGGCTATGCATGTTCCATCCGCCTTAAAAGTTTATAGTGCAAAAGTGGTTGCAACTATGGCCTATGCGGTCCCTTTATGGGGCGTCTTTGTAAACCTCTTGCCTCTGGTGACATTGCAAAATCTTTTTCTAAGACGCCTTTTGAAACTACCCTCCTGTGTAAGCAACTCTGCCATTCGCTTAGAACTTAAGACCCCTCCCTTGAGATTCTGATGTGGAGACATGCCTTTAATTATTGGCTGTCCCTTTGGCATAAATTGCCAAACTACCATCTTATTCAGTGCCTTTGGAGAGATGAATTCACCAGCCCATGGGCAACAAAAATCCATTCCAAACTGTTGTCTTATGGAATCTCTCCCTCCGATATACTTAATTTAGATCTAATTACAGCTAAAAAGGTCATCAAACAAAGATTGGAGGATGTAGATTTACAACAAAATCTTACCACAGGTGGAGGTACATGTTCCCCGATATATCAGGGCATTACATCTATGTCCCAGATACCTCGATATCTGTCTACTTTATCGGCTGCGTCGCATAGATTCGCATTTGTTAGAGCCAGATTTAATGTGTTCCCCTCAAATGTGCTGAGCAATAGATTTTCTAACGGTAAAATCTCTGTTTTGTGCGCATGTGACAACAAATCGATAGAATCCCTTTATCATATCTTGTTTAATTGCCCCTTATACAATGTTCCCCGATCAAGGATCCTGAGTTCAATCATCCTGGAAATTGCTGCTAAACCACCTGAATTACATCTAGCTTATCTACTCCAGGACATTGACTCTTATAGAACTTTACAGGTTGCTAGATTCCTGATCTCAGTTCTGTCATATAAAAGACTTCAGGGAATGCTGCATGACTATTAAAAATTCAGTAAACTCTATGCACCATCTTTATCTTCAAGGCCATAACACGGTACATTTAGAGATTATGCGTTGAAATATTTTAGTTGATATTTTAGATTGTAAAATGCTATTGATTTTATCTATTGATTTTTATCTATTGATTTGTTTTACCTTGTGGGCTTATAGCCGAATAAAGTACTATCTATCTATCTATGATAGTATCTTCATGCCTCTCTTTCTCTCCTTGCTCCATTCCCCCAACAACACTTCTTCCTTGTGGAAATGTGGAGGCAGAATATAAAATGAGCCTGAGTTGCATGAATTCTCATTACAGGATTTAAATATATTGAGATCCAGGACTCGGACCTTTTATCATGTTACACAGAGTGCACACAGTTCTGATGAAAAGAGGCACGAAAGCAAGCTGATTCATTCACATGGCCGTTGTGTCCTAACTTAATTTCTACTTCCAGCCAGATTACATCTGGAAAGTTCAAGCACTTCAGAAGGAATTAGAAGCAACACCAGTCAACGCCTGGCCTGTCACGGCGAGTTAATAATTTGTCACCAGGGCCCTGCCCGCATGTCGTGCTGATTACTGTGAGGTTGTGTAAAATGGCCAAAGGTCTTTTTTCTTCTGCTAGCTGGGGGAAAGAGGGAGTCCTTTGTTGGCACTGTAGCATCTGAATGCAGAGTTCACCATGCATTCCTGAAATAGCAATTGCTTGGACAGATGCAATGCCGTCCTCAAGCAGCGGGGCTCAAGAGGAGCATTGGGGGTGGATGCTTACCCTTTCTGGTGATGCAACTGGCACATGTGTTTCCTATTTATATCACCCCATCCCTTCCATGGAAGGCAGCAGCATGCAAAGAATCCCAAACAGCGCTGCTCAATCTGTCAGTAGGGTTTGCCAGCCCTTCCAGGGTGCCGGAAGCAACTCTGGCTAGAGTTCCATGGACGGCCATTTAATGGTGCAGCTGTGATGACGAGGCAGCATCAGCAGTATGAATATGCTGAGAACTTCTCCCTAGCCCATAAAGATAATCTAGTATCCTGGTGCACACTTTGCTGTTGCATTGCACTCTGCCTACATTTACATGAGTGGCCCTTGCCCCTAGTGCCATTTTCCTCTTGGAGCATAGCTGGCCATTACCTGAAAAATCAGTAACTTTCTCATTTTCAGAAAAGCTTCCAGAGGTCACAACTCACAACTGAGAGGAGGTGCATAATTCAGGTGTGAGGAACCATTGACCTCTCCCCCAGATGTTGTTTGAACACTACAACTCCCATCTTCCCTGAACAGTGGGCCATGATGGCTGGAGAGTTGGACTTCAGCAACATCTGGAGGGCCATAGGTACACCATCCCTATCTTATTCCTTCCCCTGCCTAATGCCTCCGCCTCAGTAGCAGGGATCCATACGCACCTTTTTTGTGTTTTGGGAACTTGAGGATGGAATTCCACTGGGGAGGTGGTAAGTAGGCTTTTGTTTCTCCGCAGACAATCTCCCCATCTTTTTGCTTAAGAAATGTTTTGTATACGTTTGGGTGTCGTGTTCAGAGGCAATCCAGCAGCAGGTCAACCTTTGAGACCATAAAGCTTTGTAGTGTTGTAGTTCATGCTGAATTCTCTAATTCCCTGCAAAGGTATAGGACAAAAGTTCTCAAGTCACGGGTTGTGAGGACTTTAGCCTTTCGGACTGCTTGGAGTAGGGGTGTTTGTCAGGTTGAAAGGGCAGCTGAGTTGAGCCCAGTTGACCCAGTGTGGTGTGAGGAAATTATATGGAGCTCTTTGCTATCAACATGGTGCAGCCTTTGCTTTGAGTTATTTGTGAGTGGCTTGTAATATTTTATATGTAATACAAGACAAATCTTGGAAGTCTCCTCCCAAAGCAGCATGTGAACCTCTTTGTACTAATAAAAAGTTCTTAAATGAGCAGTGGAGACATGTAGTCTTGAGTGGGGTGAGATTTCCATATCCTCTCATCTTGAATTCCCACACCCATTTTTCCTCCTTACGTACAGACGCTTCTTCGTTTCAGTATTTTTTAATCACATTTAATATGTAGTGCCTAATATATATTTCAGTTTGCTGTTAAATATTGGAACTAAAACATTTTCTACTCAGAGGAAAGGTATTTCGAAAGGATGTTTGTAACTGAAATGAGCTATGCTGATGCTTCTTTTTGTTATAAGGCAATTTGTGGGGAACCTTTGTGGCTCCACAGGGCAGATCCTTATTGAGGGCCAGTCACCTGTAAACCACGTGGCATTATTGTGACACAGTGGACAGGTGGGTGGGGCGCCCACCTGTCAAAATCACTTGCACAGCTTTGTAGGTCTTTGCAAAAGTGCTCTTTGAAGCAGTGACCTCTCTTCTCCTTTAGACCACTGGCCACCTGCCTGCTCACTCCAGTGTTTATAGGAGACAACTGTTTCAAAGAGCACTTTTGCAAAGGGCACCTACAGTGTTGGGGTAGAAAGGAGCCATGGTGGGCAGCTTCAAAGAGCAGCATGGGGACAGAGAAGTGGTTTTCATTGAATGTCCCCATAGTTGAACAAGCCTCCAGCAAAGGTAGAGTTGGGAGCCCACTTTTAAGGGCCCAGTTGTTCCTTTGAAGGCCTACCCTAGTCATGGCTTTCCCAAAACGGCTTCATGGGCTAAATAGGGAGGCCTAGCTGGCCAAAGGTTTCCCACCCCTGGTTTAGCATGTCCTTATTTGCAGAATTTCAGTTCAGATGCACCCAGAGTTCCACTGACCCTTACATGCTTCTTAAAATCATCTCCCAACTCCCTGTACACCTTGCTAAGGAAACTCTTCCTTTTACTAACATTTCTTTCCACTGTTTGCTTGTTAAAGAAATGGAATGGAGCTACCTACTTGTTCACTGGCACAGAATGGTACTGGGCCCCTGGTGACTGAAACCTGCTGGTTTTATGTTGCTATACCAGGAGACATTGATGTTTCTGGAGGTTGATCTTCTAAAAATGAACTTTAAAGGGAGAGTCAGAATCCCTCAAGGTGGGCTGTTACGGCATTTGCTGTGAGGAATAGCACTTTTGTTCTTTCTTTAGCAATGTTTTATGGAGAGCTCAATGGTTTTTTTTGAGAGAAGAAACAAGTTTTTAAGAACAAGACTAGAAATTGAGGGATTGCTGACATGCAGAACAGTAGTATTTTAAGGCAATGACACAGTTCTTTGAAAACATGGAATGGCTTTTGAGGTGTCTGAAGGCATTTCACTTTTCCGTGGGCAGTCCAGTGGTCTGCAGCAGCTTTTGTATATATCAGACATATCCAAAAGGTGCCTATGCAATTTAAATGCACCTGTGTGACAACAAGGCTTTCAGGGCAGGGGCATCTGTGACGATCAAGGACACTTGAGAGGCATAATCTTTAGTAGCATCCAACTTCTTGAACCTTAATGGGGCATACATTTCTCATTTCTGACCCCAGACGCATGCTTGCCTGCATTTTCTTGGCTTCCTCCCTCATATCTGTCTCTTGGCCCAGAATTCCAACACTGAGCCAAATGCTACAGCTTGTTTCCTTCAGATAAAAATGAACATGCAACAGCTGAGAGCAGCTACTGCTTATTTCCCCAGGAAGTACAAAATGGCGCAGTGGAAACTGCTGGTCCACCACTGTTGTGAGAGTGGTGGTGTCCGGTGCCAAGAGTCTCCTTTCCCTGGGGAAGACCTGGTGTTGACTGCCAAAAGAATGGCTTCAGCTTGCTTAGAGAGCCATTCCATTTTTACACAAAAAACCCCTACACACCCCTCCTATCTCTTTGCACAGATGGTGACTTATTTGCTACTGATGCTTTCCACAAGAAGAACAGCATTGTGGGGGCTCTGCCTTGTGTTGGTTTGGTTTTCCTGCAGGCTGATGCCTCAAGGCTCCAAGATCAAAGCTGCCTTGATCTGCAGAGTTGGTCCAGGAAAATACAGCCTTCGCTTTGTGACCTGCAAATGCACACAGGAAAAACACCCCCGCCACTGCCAGAGTTTGTCTTAAATGCAGGCCTGGGCTGTTGTTGATATTTTCCAGCCAAACGAGCACACACTAACATAAGGAATCCCTGACAGTAAGCTGAAAACATAGACATGAATATGTCTTCCATCTGCTTGCTCTGCATTGTTTGTTCCCTTCTAAAAAAATCAGTAAATATTTGGTGAGTTCTGGAGTGTTGTGTGGTTGCAACAAGGGGAAGAGGTGGGACAGATGGGAGACAGGTTGGGGCTTGTGGAACAGGAATCCAGTAAGAGGCCCGAGAAGAACGTGACTGTTGTTCAGGGACACAAACTTTGCTCACCTGAAGGCTAGATGCTTTGACACATATAGGTGCTTCTGTTCGTTAACCAGGGAATCATAGCAAGATAAAGCTGCACTTGTACAGTGCATGCAAGCAGTTATTTCCTAGTCAAACCCCGAGTCATTGTGTGCTGGACCAACAATAAAATGCTATATAAAAACTCCCCCTTTCACATCTTTATCATGCCATAGTTTCATATATGAAATCACTCCAGATTCTTAACTACTGTGGAGAAGAACGCCACCTAGGAATAAAACAGATGCCACTTCCTGTAAATTAGAAAACTCTAGAAGTTAGGGGCATCACACAAGGGGCAAAACAACACGGAGTACAGCATACTTTGCACCACTTGAGTCACAGGTACATAATCTGTATTCTAAGCTTGTCTTGGCATAGCAGCTTTCCTGAACCATTGTAGACACCGTCTGCAGATCACCTTGTGGCAATGTGTCTGCACATTCATGAGTTTCCAACACAAACGAATCCCTTCATGAATACTGGCATTGATGAGTATCAGGACACTCATCTTGATCTAGGTAGCTCTGGGAATAATGCAGTGTTCAGGCTTGTGATACAGGGGGGTCTCCCCGGCCCCCTCCCTGAGCAGCCATCTCCCTGCTGCACACCCCGTTTGAGCTGATCTGTTTCTGCAAACAGACTGCATTCTGGGGCTTGAGACAAGCCTGTGCTACTTTACATGTGTCTGGCAGTCATGAGGGCTAAGCACTTATTTTCTAGGTTAGGAGTTGGATAGAATGCGAAGGAGTTCCAAGTTCTACACTCGGGAATTGTGCAAGGAGTAATGGGATGAAGACCTGGGCTGGAAAAATATTCCAAGATTACTGTTGCTTGATTGCAAAATATAATCAGGAGTGTCTTTGGCTCTTCACTAAGCTTGTACTGTAACTTTCTTTCCTCAGAAGCGAAAGATCAGCTTGTGTGTGTGTATGTTTGTGTTTCATCAGCAGGGACATTAGGGAGGCCACTGCCAAATTAAAAACTGGCCTGACTCCAGCGACCATTTCTTGTTAAAGCCAAAGCATTTTTTCCTCCCTCTAACAGAGGAAACCAGATCAAAATGCAGGACAAGTACCTAAGACAGGAATCCTTCCGTATGTAATTTCCCCCCTTTTGAGTTGCATGTGGTAATTACTCTGTCCCTCAAATCAAGTTCTTAATCACAGTGTGTTTGCAAAGATTTAATGGGCTATCTTTCCTGGTTTAAATGTTGGAAGTTGTTACTTATCCACACCCGTTTTGAGACTTATGTTTATCTTAAGGGTTGGGGCAGTTTATCCAGACTGTAGAATCATGTGGTAAAGCTCTCCTGGACTTTGCTATTTTGAGGGGAGTTGAATGCTCTCCAAGAAAGAAAAACATCCCTGCAGACATAAAACTGTATATCAGGAGAAGAGAAAGTCTTCCTGACTTTTACCCCCCTCCCCACAAACAAACTGGGAAGCATTCAGGTTCATACATTGCTCTGGATGCTTTTAGGCAGAGTGTGAATTATATTATTATTATTATTATTATTAATTAATTAATTAATTAATTATTTCTAACATGCAACTCACAAAGCAGCCTAAAGTGGTACAGAAAATATCTCACTGTTCTGATTACTATGTGAACTGGAACTTTATCGCTTTATTCCAATGTCCATATAAACCAGCCACTCCGCAACTGACTTTAGATGTTGGTAGCTGCCAGGGAAAGCGTTGGCAGCTCACCCTTCTATTCTCAGAGGTGCTCTGTAATGAGAGAGAACATTTGCATCTCCCATGGAGAAAAGAACATTTGCATCTCCCATGGAGAGAAGTGCTAGCTCTGGGGTACAGCAAGGAGGAATTGTGGTGTGGAGATCTGCAGAAGCCATGAAGCTTAAGCCAGTGCAGCTCTTCATACTTTCCACATCTGAAGCCCCTCTTTACTAAGTTAAGTAAAGATTGTCTGAGGGTTTTTATTGCCCATTCATGATGCTTTGTGTTCATGATGCTGCTGGCAGTCACGTGCAATCCCCACTGTTTGCAGCTGCAGAAGTTTTGGGGCGGTTGCACTGCTTCACTTCCATTCAGAGCACATCCCATAACATCCTGTTGAAATCCCATAACATTTTATGCCACAGATGTTCTGGTTTGGTTTTTGTCCTGCTGTAGCCCCTCTGGACAGCAAAAATGTGGTAGCACTGGCGGGGGTGTGTGTGACTTGTAGAACAAACGGAAGCAGAATAAATTTGCCATGGATGCACTGTTGTTGTGTCAAGAACGTGTTGCAGGATCCGCCCACAATAAAACACCTGTCTGGAACGGCCCCCAAGTCCTTGCGTTTGAAGTGAAATGTAAGTATTGTAACTAGTTAATGGGAATGTGCTAAATTCTGAAACCATTTCATGTAAAGATTAAGGGTGTGCAGTAGGGATCTGGAGCCCCTAGGACAAATCGGATTTTCAAAAAGAAGCCCTCTCCCCTTGCTGCCAATATAGAGATGAAAAAGAAGAGGCAGGAGAGGGGTCTCTCTGGCAACAAGACTACCCAGCTCCTTTCTCAGAAGCCAGCCCTCCTGTTGCTTCCCAAGACCTTAACAACCACCAGCTTAGCAGTACCATCCTCATAGTGCTCAGACTTTGTGTAAGTGAGGCTACCCAGTAAGCTCATGGCTGACGCTCTCTGTTGCTCTTCTATGCCATCCAAACAGATCTTTGAATTTCTTCCTTCCATAGCTGAGTTAGCGTTCAGTGTCTAATGATGCAAAGGATTAGTTTTCCAAATTGTTGTTGATGCAAAGCCCGCTGGCCTAGATTGCCAGTGGAATAGACTTCTTGAGTGTTATAATATCCTGTGAAGCCGCTCCTGTGGCCCTGCTCCAACCAAGTGAGCTGCGCTCTCTTCCAAATAGAACCACTGAATGGGGAGAGCTTGGGCGCTGGAAACTCCCCTAAAGTGGTATGCTGGCGCTTTGTGTTTTTAAACACAACTGTCGTCAAGATGATATGTCAAGTTAAACACACAATAGCTTTGAGCCTTCCTGCTATGGGCGGGGGGGGGGGCACAATGCTTATTTCTTTCCATTCACATACTTGTTTAATAGTGACATTAGCTTGGCTGAATTCATTGGGCTTTTAGCAGGAAGGGGAGGTGATCACCCTGATTCATTGCTGACTTGTCTGAAAGCCCAGTCAGTTGGATACAGGCAAAGCCTCCTCTTCTTTTCAAATGACATTTCCTTGTTGCTTGTATGTATAAACAATAGGCGAAGAGTTAGCTAAACCTTTACACCACCAACCCTTTTTTAGGATCCATATGATAGTTTGGTACATTTGCTATGGAAGGCAAAGGGGAACTGAAGAGGGGAGCAAAAATGAGTTATTCTGCAAACATACCAGAATAGTCCAGCCCTAAATATTGTGAGCATGAAATGAGGTTGGGGGCGGTGTTTAAAATTCCACCGAAGTGTACAAAGACAGTTGAAAATGTATGTGTGGCTCTTTCTCTTAAGTGCTGTTTGGAAGCGCTGCAAATGGAGCGGAGCAGACAACTGTTGAAGTGCCATGTTTTCCAGGAGGCTAGGGAACAGAGCTTTTAATAAACCATCAGGGAGCAGCCCGCCTTTGGTGCTGATAGCATGATGAGGCCGGGTAGCTTTGCATGGTGAGTAGGTAGCAGCAAATGCTGTGGTTCCCCCTTGCAAATGTTCTGGTTCTGTGTAAACATTACAGTTAAGGCTTAGCAGCCTGCCCTTTATCCTATCCTATGAGCTTGCGTGCACACGCAATTTTGCATTTGACTATACGTGATTTTGCCTTTATGCACTATCCTCGAAACGTAACCCCTGTGTAAGTTGAGAGTCGCCTGTAATTATCTCAAGGTGTACATTTGTTGGTACCATTTCTGGGTGCAGAAATGAGAGCAGGGTGTTGAAACTAAAACACAACCATCTAGTCCTGTATTCTGTTCTCATAGTGGTGTCTCTGGGAAGCCCACAAACAGGGCATGAGCACAACAGCACTCTCCCCACCTGTGATTTCCAGCAGCTGGTATTCAGAGGTGTGCTGCCTGTTGACAGTGGAGGTCAAAAAGAGTCCAAAGAACTCTTAAGGAAGAAAGCACTAGGTAATCACATGGAAGACACTTGAGACTACCAAAAATCATTGCTTGAGCTCTCATGGAGAGGCGTGAGGTGGGAAGGCAGAAGAATTGGGAGGCCCGAATTGAGTGTCAGTTGCATATAAATGTGAGAACAAGAGGAATTGAGAGAGGAGAATGCAGGGGACAGCAGATAGAAGGAAAGCTGCCTGTAGGGACAGAGGAGATGGTGCGTTGTGGGAAGTGCGAGCTGGTGGGAAATGAGTGAAAAGATAGGGTTTGGTGGTAGCTGGAAAGCCACCAGTGAGAGACCCCCCCCTCCCGATTTACTGAGCTTCTGTGATGTCACAGCATTCTGAAGCCAAAACATCAGCAGGCCTAGGAACAGAAGAATGTGTGTGCTGTTGGTGTGGAGGTTGCCAACCAGTGTGGAAGGCTGAATATATTTTGCAAATATGCAAAAGCTGCCCTGAGCAGCTTTCTTTCCGTTCTTCCTGCCCCCTCCCCAGTTTAAACAGAATGATAAAACTAGATAAACAAGAGGCTTCTGTTTCTATAGTTCCGGGTGCTTGGGAATTATTAACACTGACAGAAGCTCATTTTGGTGTACAGTTCTGGGTCTTTCAGCCAAATTTGTATTAAGCAGCAAGGGATGCAGTGGAGCCAAAAGAGTAGCTCTGTCAAAGACTGAAGGAGCTGCACAAGTTCTCCTAGCCCAGGGAAAAAGCTATTAACACTTGTAAGTGAACCTGGGAGCATTCTTGAAGGGCATTATATAACATTGGCTAAATACTGAAGGGGAAGCATGGGATGGGCTGTAGGAAGGGGGTGAGACGGTTTTGCCATTCTGTTCGCAGAGGATGGAGGAAGATATAATGAGTTTAAAACAGGAAGACGCTTTTTGGTTAAACAGTAGGAAGAGCTTCCTGACCACAGTAGTAATTGAACAATGGAATAAGCTGTTGAAGGAGGCTGTGGAGCCTCTTTCCTGTCAGGATGTTTTGAGGTATAGGATATCCTGCTCTATAGCTAGGGATTGGAATAGGCAGGCCCACTGCTTGCTCCTAAAGCATATAGGCACCAGAATCCCCCAAAACCAGGTGTGGCCATTGTGGTTGTTTATTAAATTTGTATACCGCCCCTCATTCGTAGATCTCAGGGTGTTTCACAACATAAAATTACCGTATTGTTCTGTCAGCCCCGCAAGTCCATTTAACCACTCCTTTGTTACACATTGCACTTCTCTCCAAGTCCGTCTTCCACAGAAATATGCTGAATATTCTTGGAATAAAGTGAGTGTGCTTCATGAGTCACACTTATATTATTATTATTATTATTATTATTATTACAGTGGTACCCCGCAAGACGAACGCCTCGCAAGACGGAAAACCCGCTAGACGAAAGGGTTTTCCGTTTTGGAGGCGCTTCGCAAAACGAATTTCCCTATGGGCTTGCTTCGCAAGACGACAGCCCATAGGGAAATCTCAGGGACAGCGGGAAGCGCAGCGCGTCTTCCCCACTGTCCTCGGACCTCCTCCGAAGCCTGGCGGCGGGGCGGGGACACCTCCTCCCGCCGCCGCCGGGCTCGGAAGGCTCCTCCGAGCCGGGCGGGGGAGGAACACCTGCCGCCGCCGCCCGGCTCCGGAACGGTGCTCCGAGCCGGGCGGGGGAGGGAACACCTGCCGCCGCCGCCCGGCCGGGACGGTGCTCCGAGCCGGGCGGGGGGAGGAAGACCTCCCGCCTCTGCCCGGCTCGGAACGGTGCTCCGAAGCCGGGCGGTGGGGAGGGAAGACCTCCCGCCTCTGCCCGGCTCGGAACGGTGCTCCGAGCCGGGCGGGGAGGGAAGACCTCCCGCCGCCGCCCGGCTCGGAACGGTGCTCCGAGCCGGGCGGGGGAGGGAAGACCTTCTGAAGGCGGGCGGGGGCGAAAGTCTTGCTCCCCCTGCCTGCCTGTCCCGGAGGGCTTTTGAAGGCGGGGAGCAAGACTTTCGCCCCCGCCCGCCTTCAGAAGAGGTCCAGGACCTCTTCTGAAGGCTGGCGGGGGCAAAGTCTTTGTCCCCCCTGCCTGCCTTCCCAGGGGCTGTTAAATTGCCCCGGACAGCGGAGAAGTCCTCCGCTGTCCCGGGGTGATTTAAAATGCCGCCCGCCAGCATTTTAAGATCGCCCGGACAGCGGAGAAGTCCTCCGCTGTCCCGGGGTTTTTTAAAATGCTGGGGGTGGGAAGAAAAGCCCTTGCCCCCCCCCCCCAGCCTTCAGAAGAGGTCCGGGGACAGACTGTCCCCGGACCTGGTCTGAAGGCGGTTTCCCTAGGAACGCATTAATTGATTTTCAATGCATTCCTATGGGAAACCGTGCATCGCAAGACGAAAAACTCGCAAGACGAAGAGACTTGCGGAACGAATTAATTTCGTCTTGCGAGGCACCACTGTATTATTATTATTATTTATTATTTGTACCCCAGCCACTCTTGGCACTTCCAACAAAGATTAAAAATACATAGAAATGTCACACATTAAAAACTTCCCTAAACAGATGTCTTCTAAATGTCAGGTAGTTGTTTACCTCTGGGTGTTCCACAGGGCGGGCGTCACTACCGAAAAGGCCCTCTGCCTGGTTTCCTGTAACTTTACTTCTTGCAGTGAGGGAACCGCCAGAAGGACCTCGGCGCTGGACCTCAGTGTCCGGGTTGAACGATGGGGGTGGAGATGCTCCTTCATTTTTTTCCCCAAAGATATTTATTAAGATTTTCAAAATATTACAAAATAAAAAAAGAAAAAAGAAAAATACAAAATAAAAATAGTTAAAAAGGAGATGCTCCTTCAGGTATACTGGACCAAAGCCGTTTAGGGCTTTAAAGGTCAACACCAACACTTTGAATTGTGCTCAGAAATGTATTAGGAGCCAATGTAGGTCTTTCAAGACCAGTGTTATATGGTATTGGCGGCTGCTCCCAGTCACCAGTCTAGCTGCCGCATTCTGGATTAGCTGTAGTTTCCGGGTCACCTTCAAAGGCAGCCCAACGTAGAGCGCATTGCAGTAGTCCAAGCAAGAAATAACTGGAGTATGCACCACTCTGGCGAGACAGTCTGGCTGGTAGGGTCTCAGCCTGCGTACCAGATGGAGCTGGTAGACAGCTGCCCTGGATACAGAACTGACCTGCACCTCCATGGACAGCTGTGAGTCCAAAATGACTCCCAGGCTGCGCACCTAGTCCTTCAGGGCACAGTTACCCCATTCAGGACCAGGGAGTCCTCCACACCAGTGTCCCCCCCGTCCCCCAAGAACAGTACTTCTGTCTTGTCAGAATTCAACCTCAATCCATTAGCCGCCATCCGTCCTCCAGCCGCCTCCAGGCACTCACACAGAACCTTCACTGCCTTCACTGGTTCCTATTTAAAAGAGAGAGCTGGGTATCATCCGCATATTGATAGACACCCAGCCCAAACCCCCCTGATGATCTTTCCCAGCAGCTTCATGTAGATGTTAGAAAGCATGGGGGAAAGCAAGTGAGGGCCCAGGGGTCTGAACACTCGTCCCCCACACCACTTTCTGGACATGGCCCAGGAGGGAGGAGACAGGAACTCAGCAGTAATATAAACTAATATTGTACTTTGCGTCTCCAATATGTAACGGAGGGACAGCAATAAGGGCTCACATTTGCAGGGGTGGCTGTAAGTGTTTCTGAGAAAATATGTTTGACGCTTGAAATGCATGGTGGCTGTCATTGTTGCGTGTTTGAAATTCCTTTTATTTTTGGCTTGTTGTCCCACCCCGCTCCCTATCCCACTGTGCCAGGAATCAGCTCAGGAATATCGTGAGCAGGTGGCGGTCGGGAGGTCTTGCGAAGCACAGACTGCTTTTCTCCGAGCTGCAGAGCAGCCATAGGTGTTTGGGGGGAAGGCCAGGACTTCCTCAGCTTGGGATACGACTTCCAAATGAGATTGATTTCTGTCCCTTAGGGTAAGAAATTAAATCAAACTCTCCACGCACAGTGAATAAGTGAAACTTCCTGGTGCTGTGATCTTATTCATCCCATGCACACACACACTTTTTGTTTCAAAGCCGTTTCAGTTTCTGTGCAAATCGCTTTCTTGCTCTTAGCTCCCAGTATGTTCCTGAAGCCTCAAGCTCTTTTCCCTGCTTCATCAAAGAGCTTGTTGCCAACCTGCCAGGAGAATCTGGGGACCACAGCAGCTACATCTAAATACAAGAGATGAACAAAGAAATTAATCTCTCCTTTTGTTTGGATTGATTTTTGAGGCCAGAACAGAGAGGAGATCAGAATTATATTGTGCTATTATCCTCTTTTTAAAAATAAAATAAAATCCAACAGACCATAGTTTCTTATTGAATGTCACGCTGCCTCTTTGAAGGAATGGACTCTTCTTCCCTCTGATTCCCCCATCCTCCCCACTGTGAAATGCCCTTAAGGGGTCTGACTTGGTGTTATAACGGATAACTTGATGCTTTGAAAAAACACCATGAATGTATGTCTTATTTTATTCCCCCCCTCCCCAAGATGTATAACTATTGGCTTCTGACCTGTAGGCTTCACAGGGACTTTTGTGTTGGCAGCCACCTCAGTTTTGCAGGAGCATTGTTGTAATCTTTGCAGTGCTCCTCAAATGAGGAAAGCTGCATATTAACCCTTCTAGGGAAGAAGTGGAATGAGGGAACTCAAAGAGTAGCATATGAAGACATTCCTTTCCTGGATCTATATACCAGGCATACATATCCTGCGATCAGGCTGCAGAATTATAGAATTTATCACAGAGCATATAATACCACCAACAATCAGTGTTTGAAACTAACAAGGCACGTTTTCCTACTGGCACAGGTCAAATTGCAACTATGTGGAGGTTTCTGGGCACCAGGTTGGTGACCACAGTTTAAAAACCTCTGCCATAGTTAATACCATTTCTACTGTTTATGTTTCTCCATCTTGCTTACTGGGACAAGTGAATTGTTGTAAGAGCAAGCTACAGTCAAGCAATGAACAGTGGTACCTCGGGTTAAGTACTTAATTTGTTCTGGAGGTCCTTTCTTAACCTGCAACTGTTCTTAACCTGAGGTAACACTTTAGCTAATGGGGCCTCCCACTGCCGCAGCACAATTTCTGTTCTCATCCTGAAGCAAAGTTCTTAACCCGAGATACTATTTCTGGGTTTGCGGAGTCTGTAACCTGAAGATATGTAACCCGAGGTACCACTGTAGTTGAAGTCACAGAATCATAGAATCGTAGCATTGAAAGGGACCCAGGGATCATCTAGTCTAACCCCCTGGCTGATAAACATTCAGTTGTGGTGACAGTGACCTAAGTTTAAGGTGCCATTTGGCACCTAGCTTATGTATTTAGTTTCTAACACTGCCAACAATCCTAAAAATCTTGGCTTTCGTTAAAATCCCAGATGGGCAAGTTTAGCTAAGCTGCCTTTGAAATAGTGGGGTAGATAGAAGAAGATTTGATCAGCCTTCTTGTGGTCAGGGTTTTTATATTCTAATTTTATGTCTTGAACTGCCCTGAGATCTGTGGATGAAGGGTGTGGTATACACATTTAATAAAAAAAGATGAACTACGAAACTCCTTTCCCCCCCTCTGTGACGGGAACCAGCACAATCACAGCTAAGAAAATTGACTGTGTATTTACATTACTTTAAGTTGCAGAACTCTGCTTTCATAGCAAAAGAATTTTGAGTTTAAAAGAGAAATGGTAAAATTTAGAAGAGCCTCCTTGTAGATTATGTACGTAGCTGGCAGGGCCAGGCTCCAAGTGGTAAACACAGTGGTGATGAGGTAGACAAAACCTCTTGGGCGAAAGAGCAAGCCAGAGTCCAGAAAAACACAGGGAAATCTAGGATGCAGATGGAATTGAAGCTAGGCGGGAAGCATGTGCTATAACCACGCATGTTTGCTGACAGAATCCAAGCAGGAACTAGAAACATGGAAGGAGCTGGCCAAGGGCAAGCAGAAGATGAAAAGAAATGAAAAGTCCCTGAAAGTAACTCCTACAAGGCTGTTTTCAGGACAGCAGCAAAGACAGTGAAGCCACAATGGGGTGAACATGACTGTGAAATCAAAGTTAGCCTCACCTACCTCACAGGGTGGTTGTGAGGATAAAAAAGGAGGGAAGAGAGTGAACGAACGAACAAACAAACGAATGAATAGTACTTCTGTCTCCCCTGCCCAAGGCAGCACCATTAATCCTCAGGTATTATAACTCACCGGAGGCATGGGTTAAAATCACTTGGCTGCCAGCATGAGACTAGAAACTTACTTTTTCTATGGAAGTTAAATTTTCTGGAATTCTGCTGAACCTGCCTGCCGTGTTCCACACTTCCCTAGGAGTTATGGTGCCATGCACAGGCTTCTGGAGCCTCCCTTGCTTTATGCTTCAGTCAGCACGGACGGTGCCGCCTCTAGGCTGCTTTTGTCTGGCCAGCTTGAAACGGCTACCTCGTTCTAGAGAGAGAACAATAGGCTGCTCACAGTCCACCGTCACATGTTATGTTGCGGTGCCTGAAAAGGGAGCAAGGAAGCCCTGTGGGGTTTTGGTTCTCCCCAGCAATTAGAAGGGATGTTTTGTTTGTGCAGGGCAATGGCAGCTAATTTCAACTCCCAGCTTCCACTTTCTAGCCCCTTGTCTTGTTTAACTGTTTTGAGCTGGCTGGCTTAGGTGCAGCAACCTGTGGGTTTTTCTACACAGCTCAGGGACACCAAACAGGTTTGTGTGTGAAGTAATTTAACCTCACGATGATCCTACCCTGCATCTTACCTTCCTATTCCTGCCACCTTAGATCATGAAACTCTTGACATAGTAAAAGTCTCTCTGAGTGTCTGAGAGATTGACTTCACTTGTTCTGAATGTCTGTGATTTCATAAAGTGTCACATACAGCGTTTCATACATATCCAGTGTATGGTTTTTAAAACCTGACTTGTCCAGAGCAGCGGGCAAGGGGGAAGCTGCAGAACAACAACAACATAGAGGAGGAGGGTGTCTTTTTTGGTGCAAGATCTTTAAAAAAATAAATAGGGACAAGGAATTTGCTGTGCAGATGTTCTCAGCAAGCTGCTTTTTCGTTTTCATGGAACTACCAGTTTTACCCAGTGGGAACAGTGCATGGATCTCCTTCAGCCAGGGGGCAGTCTCTCTGAGCAAGGAGCCTCTTGCCTTTGCTTGGCAGTGGCTGCTGCTAACAGCTGCTCCCACACTGCATATGTAGCTAAGATAAGCTGTGCGTGAGTGTGGGCGTCGGGTGTGGGAAAAGTTGACCCTTTCAGGGAGCTTTGGCATATCTCGTCTGCTTTTATAATGTGCGCATGCTCTAGCTTATTTACCAGCTTTTGCATGGGGTGGCTGGAAATCTCTCCCCAGAGATCTAGTTCCCTGTGGAATTGGACAGACTCACTTGATTGCATGCTGTATGCTGATACGCATGGTTTTGTGGCTAAGGCTGACCGTAGCAAACCACAGGCGACTAACTTGCTCCCCCTCCAGATGTTATTGGACCCCAGCACCCATCTGCCCTACCAGCATGACCAATGGTCAGAGGTGATGCAAGTTGTAGTCTAATGGCATCCAGAGGGCTGCAGGTTCCCAACCCGTGCCTTTAAAGAATTTGGAACCTAAGGAAATCAAAAGTAAATGTTCAGAATTTCTAAAATCACCAGCACTGGGTTTCTAGGTGCCATCCCTGTGCAGGGAGAAAAGGGTTTAAATCGAGCCATTTCTCAGCAGTGGGGCTGGGCCAGATCTTTTGATGAATCCACAGTCTGGTTAGTGCCAGGAGTTCCGCTCCTAGTCCTCCTAGTCGGCTTGACAATCTGCGGGAGGTACTCCTTGAGGTATTTGCCTGGAAGGAACAGGCTATTGTTGCTTCTCAGTCCTGGTGTCTCTTCTAGGTCTGGATTTCTGATTCAACTCAACCCTTGCTGGAGACAAGGAGGAGGAGGGAGGAAGCTGGAATGTGTTTTACAGAATGGGATAAAACTCTTGAGTTCAGCTGTCTCAGCATGTCCATAAAAGGAAGTTCCTTGGTTTAGTCAGCCATGGGAGTTTCTTCCCTTCCTTTCTCCCCCTCCCTCCCTCTCCGCCCTCCAATCCCAATCACTGACCTGATTAATCCGAGCTCCCCCATTCGAATATGTAGAACCAGGAAGCACTGTAATTCCCCCAGGTGGTTCTGAAACCAGCTTCCTGAATAAAGGAGTTGGGCCATATCTTACAGCTCAGCCTGGAATGAGGAACAAAAGTCAACAAGCCTGGCTGTCTTCCTCTTCCTAAGAGGACCCAATCTGGTGCCCTCCAGACGTTGCTGGACTATAACTCCCATCACCCCTAACTCTTGACCATGCTGGCTGGGGCTGATGGAAGTTGTAGTACTACAATAGCACCTGGAGAGTGCCACTTTGATACCCCTGGTCCAGATACTTGGCCTTTGCTTTTCTCTGTCTCTTCAAAAGTGCATTACACCCTGGAGGGTGTAGCAAGCCTGCTGAGCCTCGTTGCTCTTTTGTGTTTTTGCAAGAGGGTACCACTAAGGCAAAATGGCCTTGGTCCAAACCTCACACATCTGAAGGCGATAAAGCAACCCGTGGCCTGCAAAAGTTTGGCAGTACAGTGGAGGATGAGCTGGGTTTTTAAATAGGTGAGAACTTAAAGGCAAGGGGGTATGCAAACCACACGCCAGGACTGCTTCATCTAACTTGAATAGCTCAGTTGGTTGGGGTGTAGGGCTGATAACACCAAGGTTGCAGGTTCTAAGGCGACAGCTGCATTTTCCTGCATTGCAGGGGGCTGGACTAGATGATTCTCAGGGTCCCTTCCAGCTCTATGATCACCTCTCACATAGGCAAATGTACATAAGGACATTCTGCTGGATCAGAACCATGGTCCATCCTGTAGTGTTCTTCCGTGATGGTCTTAAGCTTCTCTTTTGAAACCATTTTGGACTTGCTGTATTACCATTGCCGAAAATATCCTTTAAATTTGATGAAGGAAAAGTGAGAGGTGGCTGTTTCCTTCCAACAACTAATAACAGCTACGGTTTCTTAAACTGTAAGCCGTTGCATACTCAAGACAAGGCATGATAATAACAGCAACCTTCCAGGCTGCCTGTGTGCCACAAATAGACAGTCCAGATATATTTGTGGGTAGGCCAGCCAATAGTTTTTGAAGGTTAGTAACTGTGGATTAATTGCAAAACCACCCAGTGCTATCTCATTCAAGTACATCACAAAAGTGCCTGTTTGCAATACTTAAAATGTAATCAACCTAATGAATCGCTAAAGCGTAGATGACTTTTTCGAAAAATAATACAGATACACATGGGAATTGTATTAGGGCTTCAAAAGTATTTTGGGGGCTGATCCGAAAATGGGCTGTCTCATGCTGTTCTCTTCTTCAAGTACTCTACAGTGTCGGCCGCTCTGTGTTGTCGGCTCTTGTTGCATTCTTGTTTGTGTTTTGCACGCCAGGCAAAGGTAGATGTTAAAAATAGCCGTGCTGTACTTAAACTCCCATTTTGAAGGGCCAGAAACATTAGAAATGAATTGGCTTTTTATATACAGCTGGTAAGCATCTGAAGCTCTGGAAAATGAAAAATTTAAAATTCAGCTATGAGCTCTCTAAACTCAAGAGGGAATTGTTTGTTAAGCTAAACCTTGCCCCCCGCCCCCCGGTATGCTAGGATATGTGCTTGAAACCTGTCCTTGAAACCTTTAGGTATGTAATGCCTGTAAGTCAACTAATGTAAGGCAGCATTTCTTCTCTGAGTCTAGCGTTACTTTATTCCCTCCCCTTTTTTCCACTTTTGCAAACTGCTGATGCCGTTTGAAAATGGCTCGGGAGCTCAAAGCGCTACCCTGCAACATGGCTGAGTTTTGCTCAGTGCACAGCTTTGAGATAGTGAAACACCCGGAAGAAATGGATTCTACATATCTTCTTGCCAAGGGCTCATTCTTTATGGGGCAGATCCAGTTGGTTAACTAGCTGCCATATGGCTCCCGTACCAGATGAAGGAGAGGATTTACCTGCGGGAAGAACATAACTCTTTACGGTTTTAAAAACTAATTGCATAAACTGGAGAGCTAGGGACAGAGTGTCAGGTTTGGTTCTCATATTGGCTTTGTGTGTGTATGTGTATGATTGCTGCTGCCGCCGCCACTGTGCTAAACTGTGTGGGAACAGCTTCGCTATGGGGTGTGGTGATTTCAATCATGTCAGCACAACTACCTGCAAATGAGTGGCTCTGCTGACTTGGTTAAAACTGCCCTACCCCCACATCAGAGCCAGTTACTACATGTGCTGAGGCCTGTACACAGCTCCCTGTGTGGTTCTCCCTCCCACCACCTTCATTACAGCAGCAGCAATTAACACCACAAAGAGAACCTGCAAATCGAACTTGGAGGTGGACTTGTGAGAATGAGACAAATTCATGGAGGATAAGGCTACTAGCCACAGTAGCTTGGTTCTACCTCGGAAGCAGCAGCAGTTACTGGAAATTGTAGGAGAGGGCGCTGTTGTGCTCAAATCCTACTTTGGGGCTTCCCATAGGTGTCTGGTTGGCCACTGTGAGAACAGGATGCTGGTCTAGGTGGGCTATTGGCTGATCCAGCAGGCTCTTACGTTTTTGCAACTGTATAAAATATATGTGTACACACAAAATATATGTATATACACACACACACACACACACACACACACACACCATACATTCCTTTCGGTGAAAGGCCGTGTGTGTACATGTCATAGGCGCCAACTCTATGGGGTGAACTCCCCCCAAAGTATGTGGGAACAGGGCTGAGCCCCCACAATCTTGAGGGGCCGGGCCTTGCTGGGTCTTCCTATGACAAGCGCCCCCCCACCCAATGTTGCATGGAACTTGACGCCGCTGATACATGTGGACAGGTGGTTAGTCCGATGCACAGATGCACTTTTTGCATTGATGTTTGTTTTATGGAATACACATTTGTTAATGAATTATTGTAACCCTGAGTTTCTTTTCATTAAGAGTGGGTTTAATTTTTTTAAAAAAACGGAAAATATTGTGACTACAACTGCACACTTGTCTGTATTGCTGCATGTAGGTTAAGCGTAATTGTAAAACCTTGTACCCCTTTTGGAAGCGTTTTCGATATAGGAAAGCAAATAATGCTTGAAGTGGCCTGGAAGTGAGTGGCTCAGGGGCATCTAGCATACTTCACAGCCAAGAAGCTACAGTCATACCTCGAGTTGCGAATGTGATCTGTGCAGGAGGCACGTTCGCAACCCGCAGCGCTGTGTCTGCGCATGCGTGTGATGCAATTCGGCACTTCTGTGCATGCTCGTGACGTCATTTTGCGGTTCTGCGCATGTGCGAGAGCCGAAACCCAGAAGTAACCCGTTCCGGTACTTTCCAGTTTGGCACGGTCCGTAACCCGAAAACATGCAACCTGCAGCGTTCGCAAGCTGAGGTATGACTGTATCTGGACCCGGGTGGATATTTCCATCTTAGCCCAGTTCATTATATACTGAATTGCATTGACCTGCCTGGACGCTGGCAAAGGGAGTGCCAGGCTGAGAAGCTCCTTTCCCCCAGGAATATGTCCTCCACTTTTCCTCATCTCTCTGCACCTGGAGGGAGGAACCTGCCTGACTGGCTTTCCTGGAGAAGGAGGTGGCAGTTCACCATCATTCCTAACGTGGGTGTGGTAGCTGTTCTTAACTTTCTGTTTGAAGGGAGGCACCTTCGCTAACCACAGACGTAGCATAAAGCTACATTTTGCTGGTGTGCAATCCAGTTGCTTCAATACCAGAGTTTTACCTTGTTCTATCAGTGTTCTTAGTAGGTATTGGCCATGTTTTATTCCCAGCCAGTTTGATGATGCACATACTTAAGAATGCAGTTATGTTTAGCAGCCACAAAAAAATGTTGCATTTCTGCGAGATCCCCTTCCCCCCCTCCATCTGAATTCTCAGCATTGCTGCAGAACTGTGATCCCCATGTTTCTTTGGGAGAAGTAATGACAGTTAAGGACAGCTGAGATTTATGACATACGTGTTCCTGTCTTGTCTGTGGTGCTGTCAGTTACTAGAATTGTTTTTTTTACTTAAGGTCGCAATCGGCAGAATCAAGTGTTAAAGCTTTTCCTGGACTTAATCATTGCAGACAGGGAGTGGGATTGTTTGCCTGAACTCTCCCGCCCACAGGAACCAGACTGAACAAAAAATAAGTGGGAGAGAGCATGCTAATTTTCAGCCTGCGTAGTGTATTCGTGGGGAGAAAGTTCAGATATGTGAACTTTGCTTCCCCCAGATAGTGAGGTTGCCTAGATCAGCTTGACCGCACAATCCTGCTAATTGCATCCGTTGACTCCTAGGCTGCGTACTCGCCATACATTTTAAAGCACATTACTTCCCCTCCTCCAAAGGATCCTAGGAAGTGTGCTTTGTTAAAGGTGCTGGGAATTGTAGCTGGGGGGGGGGGGGGTAAACTGCACCTCCCAGGATTCTTTGTGGGAAGAAAAGTGCTTTAAATGGATGCTGTGTATGCAACCTTAGACCCTGGTTCAAGCCCCTGACAGATAGCCATTGCGTGAGGCAAGTCAGTCCCTCTTACAAAATGCCTGTTAATCACGATGGCTCTTCCTGTTTGTATCACAGCGTTGTTGTGAGGCCAGAATGAGATACAGGCATGTATCATGCACAGAGCTCCTTGGAGGAGGGCCAGCATTACAGATGTGGGGATAATAATTATGGATACTGTGCTGGTTGCAGCTCTGGATAGGATTGGCAAGATGTGGCAACTTTTACCCTGTGATGGAGCTGGAAGATAAATATCTTTAAGGTCTGACTGTCGTGGTCCACTAAAATAGTGGCTCCTTTGATTTTTGATTTTTTTAAAAATCCAGTTTTTCTCACACGAGAGTCTCCCTTGGATATTCATCTTCAGAAAGCTGTTTCTCAGGCGCTCAGCATGTAGTCGTGATTAACCTAGCATAGCAGCTGCTATTTAGGTCTCAAGCTTCCTAGCAGTTCTTGCCACAGGCAGCCAGTCAAGGGTTTGTGAGCATGGCTTACGTGTGCTGCCCCGAAACTTGATGCTGGGCAGGCAGTGGGAGGCACATCTGCAATTTGACTGCATCGGGGTTTTGCTCAATTTATTGTACTTCCAGGTGTTCAAATACACGGGAGGTTTTTCTTTGCAGGGTGGCAGCTGTTGGAAATGAATGACATGTACATAAATTAGTATTAGCTGGGCTGCAGGGTAGGAACAAGGAACAGTGCAAGACGCTTCAGTCTTTCTGCCTGCTTGCATCCCCGCTTCTGGCTTCTGAAAGTTTGCCTGCACCCCTCAGGCTTTTCAAAAGCAAGAGTGCCGAAAAGCTGTATTCTTAAGATACGGCATCATTTGCCCTCCAGATGTTCTGGGCTGCAATTCCCATCATGCCCGTTCAGCACATCTGGAACATCTGGAGGGCACCAGGTTGCTGAGGCCTAGAGAGAGTTTTTATTTATTTTGCTAGGTTTTGCTGGCTTGAAGCAAAACAAACGTGCAATACACTGCTACTGTGCAAAGTGTGGGGAGAGGGGTTGCCATTTTGGAAAGAGGTGATCTGATTTGTCATGGGCACTTTTTGGCTAGTGCCTGCTGAGCAGCAGGAGGAGCTCTTCCGCCCCTGTCCTCCCCCCAGTTCTCAGATCAGGCTGAATTCTGTTTTAGGGTCATAACATATGTAGAGTGAAGATGGACCCTTCTCAAGGCAGCATGTAGCAAAAAGAAAAAAAAGCCTCGTCTGTTATTTCCCCCCCTTTACGAATGTCCTTACCCATATCCTCACACCCACATGAAATTCATGCACAGGAGAATAAAGAAACATTGGCTTACTACATGAAATGAAAGACAGAATATGTGGATGTTGCTTCAGGCAGCAGCGTTATAATATTAGCAGGCAACAAACCTTGACACCACAGACACACCTTGATCGGAAGAGTAAAAGAATCCCTAACTATTCCTGCTTTGCAGAGGCTTGGATTAGATGACCCTCGGTGTCCTTTCCAACTCTGTGATTCTGTGAGCGGTTGACACTGACAAGGCTTTAGGTATACTTTCCCCTAATAGCGGCTGTCGAGTCTCAAGTGCGAGTCTCCTCCTCCACCACCGCATTCAGTTGTTTTCGAAAAGTATGCACACAATTCCTTTCATAAAAACCGTGCCCCCCCCCCGTCAGTATAGAATGCATTCCGGCCTGTCCTCTTTGGTTTGTTCTTACGTGTTGTGTGGTCAGGAGCATGGCAGCAGCTCCCTCCCTTCGCAGCAAGGTCCTCTCCTCTCCTCCCACCCTGCACTAGAGGTCAGGTTGACTTTTGAACTGGCCCCTGCTGGGTTCTCCCAGGCAGGCTGAAGATGCATGAGGATGCTTTGAACCGATTGGCTGCATGGGTCCTGCTACTCCCCCCGCCCCCAGATGGTGAAGCCCGTCCAAGATACCAAACATCTTGCCTTCAAATTGCACGGGGAAAGCACTCTGCCCAGCCTCACTCGTGATGACTCAGCTGCACATACCCACACACCCCGGGCTTTGTGGAAACTTGAGTTGGTGATTTGTGCATGTACCTCCTTTCTCCTTCAGATGTGATGCATGTGTTGACTTGCACAGCGTTCATTCTCTTTCTCATAGATACACTCACTCACTCTACTTTTATCTTGGTAATCATCCTTGACTGTCACCCTGGCATCAGCGCTTCCCTCTCACATTCCTATCATGTAGAATTAGCATAGGGCTGCCTCAGAGGGCGAGGTTAGTATCTTCTTTGGGGGGGGGGGGTGACTTAACAGGTATTTCTCTAGCATCACACCCTTTCCTAGGAAAGCAGGCGGAGTCTGGAGCAGGCTTCCAACCAGCCCTGTCTCCAGACTTCCAGGGCAAGCTTCTTGGGAGAGGCAGATACCATCTCGGTGAGTGGTGTGTTTATGCCTTTCGCTTCCTCTCTTTCCAATGCCCCCCCATGTCTCCTCTGGCAATTGCCCATGGCTTCCAAAAGCAAACAAGGCAGAGGTACATTCCACGGTGTATGCTTATTTTTAGGCTTTTGGCTTGGCTGGGCTAGAGATGAGTTCCTTTCCAAAGTGCTTTTGTTGTGCTACCTTTCAAAGCCTCGTTCTTCTCTCGGGGTGCCTTGGGGTTTCTCTGCTTTAATAAAAGAGCCACATTTAAAGGTTCCCCCCAGCGTGCATAGAAGCTGCTCCATCTCCTGCCTGCAAGAGAGCCCATGTCGACTGGCATATTCTCGGTTCTTCAAACCCTGCTTCCTTCTCTCTTGCCCTCCCTTGCTGCATACTGTACAGGCCAGGAAGTAGCAGAATCTCTTGAGTTCCCTTACCAAAATTGCCTTCCTGGCTGCAGACTCCTCCACATTACGTCTCCGCATGAGCCTCAAAGTGTACAGTTGTGAGGATCTGCTATATAGTCGTGGCCTTCTGCATGGCCTCTTCCCACCCTCCTTTAAAATATATATAATTTCCAGGAGAACTTCATTCTGAAAGGAGGGAGTGGCAGCGGGCTTAAGTGAAAGGGTTTTACAGGTGGAAAGAATGAAGATCTAGCCCTTTTATTTACTGTCAAAAAGTTAAGGGTGCAGGTTAAAACAGTCCCATGGAGTAAAGTAGACATTGTCATTACATGGTTTCTTTTAATCCTACGTGGCATATTTGAAAGCAAGATGGGCGCAATAATAAAAAAGGCACAGACTCCTACTTTGAGGAGAATGCATGTTTAAAATAAGATGGAGGCAGATCGTTTATTCCAGTGCAAAAACAATATGATCCAACAGTAGTATGCACTACAGTGGTACCTTGGTTTGTGAACTTAATCTGTTCCTGAAGTCCGTTCTTAAACCAAAACCGTTCTTAAACTGAGGTGCGCTTTCCCTAATGAGGTCTCCCACTGCCGGTGCCTGTATGTAAACTTTGAAAGTGGACATAAAGGCTTTTTGAAGAGTTTTATGTTCCTGGAAATAGCTTTGTGTGTGGATGTTTCCCTGGATCCTTGTTGCGTTAAAAATGTCAGAGCCCTTCCTGAGCCCAAATAAGTTTGACTATGGGCTTCTTATACTTTAGTTAGTCCTTGGTGGTTTGTTTTGCAATCAGTTGATATAGTCCTTACATGGAGTGGTTCCACATTTACGTCGCATCGAACACACATTTAAACCATCTAACTTTCCCCAAAGAATCATGGGAACTATAGTTTCCCCTCACAGAGCTACAGTTCTCAGCACCCTTAAACTACAGTTCCCATAAGTCTTTGGAGGAAGTCATGTGCTTTAAATGTGTGTTGTATGTTCTTCAAAAGTATGGTGTGTATCTGCATGGGGATTCTGTTGAATGTATAAACCATCTCCCTTAAAGGACTGTGCTGGAGTTGGCATTTGGTGCCCGTAAAAGATCTTCCTGTGATGATTTGTGAGGTTTACCTGCATATGCAAATCAAGATTTCATGATGTCACACCCTCTGTGAGTCTGTATCCTAAACTGTGTTCCCTTGACCCGAGACCCTAAAATTCAGCATTCATAAGGCTTCTCCTTCCTTCTTATATTGACTTGCGGAACACTCTGCCACAAGGTATAGCAAGCATGTTACGGTGTACCGTATACAGTAGTTGAGTTCAAAAGAGAGTGAGGCAAAACTGTGAAACATGGTCATTTCAGAGAGAACTCCCATCAGGTAAAGGTCTACAGTGAGAAGACAGCAGAGCATTTTCCAATTTGTATCTGCTGTTGCTTTGTGCCACGTGGTGTAAACACAGCTTGTGTCATCCTGTATTTGGTGAGCAAGAGTGTGTTGCCTCTACAAAGCTTGTACATTTGCCCAGAAAATGCAAAAGCTGTGGGAACGTGCTGTAGATTTTTGTCCTGGTGTTAATATGCAAAATATATAGAGCAGCGCTGTGCAGTACACATATTAAGGCTAAGGAACTGCTACATTCTGAAGGCTATCGTGAGTTCTAGAAGTTATCCTTGTTCTAATAAAATAAAGTTGGAATTCATTGGATGTGGTGGACAAAAGTATTTTTGGTGGGGTGGGGCTGTGTGACACTACTTCTTGTATGGGGAATTCCGAAGCTAAATGTGCAGGTCACATACTCTGTTAGTTGGGTGCAGTATGAAGAGGCACCCAAGTTTGACTTACTTTCCTGAACTTGATACAGGGGGATTTCAGCTGTTGGTGTGACTCATTATGGCTGTGGTTTAACCCTGGTGGATCTTCTTGCAGAGCAGCCATGGAGGTGGTGAACATGATGGAGCAACCCATCAAGGTGACGGAATGGCAGCAGACATACACCTATGACTCGGGCATCCATTCCGGGATGAACACCCAGGTGCCATCGGTGAGCAGCAAGTGTTTGGTGGACGACGACGACCTGTATGGCAAGCAGTACACCATTAAGAAGACCACCACTTACAGCCAGGCTGGAGCTGGGCAAGCCCAAGCCCAGGCACAAGGTGAAACTTTACTTATATGCTTATTACGTGAATCCTACATGATGGGAGTCAATTGAGTTTCTATTGAGTCAATCTGTGGTTTCTATTGAATAACAAAAGGAAGTCTCGCATCTGGGTACTGACTCAGACCAGCTTAGCTTGAGCAAGGCTGCTGCAGTGGGAGACATTTCAGTGGTGCTCTGTGCAACACTCAAATTTGGCGCCCCCACCTTTCACACTCTGTTCTGAATCGTTGTGGTTCCCTCCAGCTGCCAGTGTTACAAGCTGGGATAGTAAAGCCAGGAGCCAATGGCTTCTGGGACCTGGGTTATAGGCTCCAAAACAGAATGTCTAGTCGCCATTTGGGGGGGGGGGCGGTTTGGCTCGGCAACACTTTTTATTTTTTATTTTGATAAGCATGAACTAATACACAATTCACATAAGTGACACATTGTTAATTTCACATTTTTAGCAGAAATTGTGAATACATGTTTAATTTGGTGTTTCCAATAAAAATATTGGTACCAAACTTCAAAACACTCTACCCTTCATTGTTAAACATATTTTCTATCCTTTAACATATTCTTTGATGCTTCAAAGCACATATATTTCAGTAATCCTTGAATGTCAGCCAGGCTCAAAAAAGTGGCTTCCAGATTTTTTGAGGTGCTCACAAATGAAGAACCTTTAGGCGCAAAATGCACCTGGCACCCTGCTATTTTTGAACCCTGCCTGCAGTGTGGAGCCCAGTGCGACTGCACTGGTCACCCTACCCTAAAACCACCTCTGGTTGCTGCACCATGAACCTTCAGGCCACGCCCTTGCCTCAGGTCATGTGATGAAGCAGCGTTGCATATTGCCTCTTCACCCTGTTGCGTCTCCTGAGGAGGTTTACAAGGCAAACACGAAATACAATACTGAAGTCACCTCCATTGTAAAAGAGAGAGACACAGACCGGGTGTTATAGTGCCAGATTAAATCTCACCAGCACTGTATCCGAACACTCTCCAGACTCTAATGCCATTTTTTTTTTTAAAAAAGCCAATAAGAAGGGGGGGGGAATTGGGAGCTAAACTTTCCAACCGCATAGGTAGGGAATCTGAAAAACGGGCACTGCGGCAGGGGAAAAAAAGCTCTGCTGTTGGTAACTGACAGCCTGGTTGCAGAAAGCATAGGTGGTTTGGGTGATATGGAAGAAGGCAATCAATCAATCAATCAAAACCTTTATTGCATTAGCATACAGCCATAGCAAAATAAGACAAAAATACTAGAGACAAGCAACCAAACAAAATTCAAAGCAATATTACTGGCGTAATGACATTTAAATTACCCTAAGACAATAATGTAAAGATTTAGTTGCCAGCGCCAAGAATCCAAAATGCGGATGTATATAAAACATAAAATGGCCCCAAAATAGGCTCGGCACATTGGGTTGAAAAAGTAATAAAAAGAATTAAAACAGGTCCAGGTCTAGGACACACTACCCAGTCAGAGTAGCCCTGAGTTTCAGAGCCTGCACTATAAAGATTGCCACCCCACGTGAAATTTGGGGATTTGCGTCCACAAGAAGCGATTTCAAACAGTCTTCCTTAGATGTAATGGTGGACGGGATCAAGAGGAGGAGCTTAGGTCTTATTGGCTCATAAATAGGGCAGTAGAAAAAGAAATGTATGAAGTCCTCTACTTCATTCATTGTGCATGGACATAAACGCTGAGTAATAGGGGTCTTAGAGTAAATCCCCTGCAGGAAGGCCGTGGGTATAGAATGGAAACGGGCCATAGTAAACGCTCTGGAAGAAGGCATTCCATAAAGAAGGTAGGCTCCTCAGAACTGGACCTACCTTTTTCTACCATAAATTTTGTATGGGTAGCAGCGCTGCTGTTGCAACCAACCAACCCACCCTGGGTCAGGCTGTAACTCTTTACTTTATGATGATGATCGTACTAAAAATTCTTACTTGCCGTCAGCGGGTCCCAACACTAGTGTGCTCTAAGAGGCTAGGACTCTGGATGTGTAGGGCTTTAAAGGTTAAATCAGCGCTCAGAAATTACTAACACAGACCCAAGACATGCCTTGCTCCAGCAGGGCAGTATATCCAGACAGTTCTTACATTTTTGCAAGAATGCCGCTTCTGTGTGATTACTTCCTATGCTGTGATTAGTTCCCATGAGAGTGCATGTTAGTGGCTAGTTTAACCACGATGTTGTCACAGAAAACAGAACGTTTCAGTTCATTCCACATGAACTGGTGGCATCTGAATCTTGGGACGTGACCTCACTGCTCGTGTAGCATAAGAACTGGTCCTCAGCCTTGTGAGCTGGTAAATCTGGATTCAAATCCAAATTCTGCCATACCGTAGTCCCATTGGGTGGGACAAGTAACATTGCCTCAGCTGTGGTTCTCTGGCTATGAAATGGAAAGAGTACCTCCTGGTAGGATGTTGTGAAGGTGGACTTGGACAAGGACGGAGAAATCTGTAGCTCAAGGGTGTTTCCACAGTAACCCAGAGAAGCTAATTCTTCTTTGTTCTTTTCACTTACTTTGCTACATGGGAACTGCAACTTGAAGTATGAACAAACCCATGCCTATTGAAAGTACCAAAGGGTATGCATTTTTGTGATTTTTTTGCAAAAAAAAATACATACTCTTGCTCAGGCTTCTTTGGGGAAATGTTCTTCTTTTGTGAAGAATGCATATTGCAAGTGACCGACATCACAGATTTTGCAAAACAAATTCGGTGCCTGTAAAATTTGGCAATGTGATTTCGGTAAAATGGAAGAGGATCAGGAAACGGGGAGAGCAAATTTTGTCCTGTCTTTTCACTGAGATAAATACAGAAGAGACTTGTAGGAGACTGCAGAGAGACAGTCACATCTGCAGGTAGAGGCAGCAAACGGCTGTGATTCTCTGCGTAGCACAGCAATCCAGGTTGCTGCAATAATTTAGGCACGTCAACACCCCCCCCCCAAATCCCTGTGTATATTTTTCCAGTGCAAACCAGTCCCCATTTCCCACCTCCTTTTCATGTTTTTAATTAAGCAGCTTTGTGTTACAACCGCCTAATCGCAGTGGCTAATTAACTCCTGCCTTATCTCTTGGCTCACATGTGAGGACTCCTGCACCTCGCAGAGCTGAAGCAGTTTCATGAACCTCCCTGCGAGATGGATGGAAATCCTGGTTGGGATTTCCTCTGTGCTAATCCTGTCCCGCTCACCCTCTTTTGCAGCGGATTTGGAGTCCCACCTTGCCATGACCCGTGCCCAGCGCGTCCGGGCTGCCATGTACCCGGAGACGGTAGAGGACCGCTCCCTTCTCATCACCACCCAAGTGGAAGGGCAGCAGACAAATGTTCAGCGACTGGCCGAGCCCTCCCAGATGCTCAAGTCGGCCATTGTGCATCTCATCAACTACCAGGATGATGCTGAGCTGGCCACCCGCGCCATCCCCGAACTCACCAAACTCTTGAATGACGAGGATCCGGTAAGGCTCTGGACCTCTGCGGCTTGTTGGAGTCGGTTTGCCTAGCAGAGTGGGTGGTCTGGAGTGTAGTTGGCATGTCAGTGATCCCATAGATGAAATGGTGTATTCTGTGCTTCCACTGAAATTCTGCAACTTCTCTGCACCGGAATCTTCAGTTCCAGTCTTCTTCAATTTACCACCCCACAAAAAATTACCAAGTGTGCCTAGCTCTTACAACTGCAAAGTTTTTGGCAATCTCTGGTGAAATCCTGGAAGCCCAAGAGGCTGATGAATAGCATTGTTAGCACATAGAACTACTTCAGGCCCCTTGACTGGCCCCCCCCCCATGACTCGCAGAAGCGGACTGGATCATGTAAAGAGATAAATGATTCTGATTTGTGTAACTAACACAGGGTGCAGAATTCAGCCACGCTTAGTGTTGAACGCTGGAGCTTTTAGGGCTGTCATCATCACCAGCGATGTGTAATATGCAGCATAAAGAGAGGAGTGTCATTTTTAATGTAAATAAGTATATAGGGAATTTTTAATTTTGTCTGTCGCGTCCGCCCCTTGGTGTTGATGTACTACATCTTGTCTGGTCTTTGACTGCAATAAAGATTGATTGCAGCACAATAGAACTGGGTGTTCGGCAGAACTCACTGCAGCTCCCTGTTTCGTCCTTTCAGCTCACCTCTTACCTTCATTCCTCTTAAATTCGTTGCCTCCATTCCTTCCAGGTCGTGGTCAGCAAAGCAGCCATGATTGTGAACCAGCTGTCCAAGAAGGAGGCCTCGCGCCGTGCTCTGATGCAGTCCCCTCAGATAGTCGCTGCCGTGGTCCGAACCATGCACAGCACGAGCGACCTAGACACAGCCCGCTGCACCACCAGCATCCTCCACAACCTGTCCCACCACCGCGAGGGCCTGCTGTCCATCTTTAAGTCCGGGGGCATCCCAGCTCTTGTGCGCATGCTCAGGTGAATTTGCAGCCCTTGGCACATCCCATGGATGCCTTTAAAATTATAGGAACGTAGGACACTGCCCTATGCAGAGTCAGACCGTTGGTCCATCTATTGTCTACACTTGGCTGGCAGCAGCTCTCTGGGCTTTATCCAGGGTTCTGTCCCAGTCGTACTTCTAGATGCCAAGGATCCAACCTGGGAGCTTCTGCATACAAATCAGATGCTCTGCTGTGAACTACAGCCCTTCCCCAACCCTACAGGACTTTCTGAATTTCCAACACTTGGCAGAGCTTGACCCTCACTTCCCCCATTTTTGGAAGAGCTTTTTCCAAGAGTAAAGCTTGGAAACAATATATAGGACGCCTCTCTGGGCTGCATTTGCACTAGGTATTCAGCTCAGGTTTTTGGTGGGTTGTGGTTGCAGAAGTTTAGGGTGGTATTCAACTAAGTTCATGTGCTAGCCCAACAGGATTTCTTTTCCCCCTGCACCACTCCCAGATCTGCTCTGGTAGGTCAGGAGAAAGTCCAGAACATATTTAAAAAGGTGTGGGAGTGGGGAGCAGAGATCATTGCACTGATGGAGCATCAACCATAGCAATACTTTAAATCTTTGGTTTGTGCCAGGGCTCAGCCCTGAAACCTGTCATGTCCCATTGTGCATGTACATAATCCTCTATATTACCAACAAGTAATTACAAGCAACCCACCCACACCTGATATTACAGGGCAGGGCCATATTTACTTGATCCTTCTCTATCTCTTAGCTTTACAAATAGCTGACCATGTCCCGGTGGCCGGTTAACTGTCTCTTGAGTTGCGCAAATAGAACTAAAGCGTACTAACTTCAGCCACCCCCAAATTCCCAGGCACACCTGAGCAGTATGCTGCCAGCCGCGCTCTCTTCTCTTATGCACGTCCTGCTATTCCTTTGCTATGCAAGCCTTGCTAGGCACCTGAGCTGCCGTGGCAGCTTGCCAGGTGAACGTCCACACCCAGCTGGCATAAAATGGAGCTGATGAGCAGTTGCCTTAACATGGAGGCGTTGCCTTTGTTTTTTGAAGCACAAGCCTCAGCGTGCCATAGCTGAGCCTTGCTCAGTTTCCACTACTGCTTTTCCAGTTTAGAAGTCCTGCAACCACTGCACCCTCTTCGTACCTTGGCACCTTCTTTAATAGCCTCTCTGTGTGCCACGGTGGGACCGTCAGAGCACAGGGCTTCATCCTCTGTGGCAGCCCCACAACTGAGTTGGCAGCAAAATGGTCCCATCATCTTGGTGTTGCTCTCAACTGAGCACCCTGAGAAAGGAGAGGAGAAGCCAGGAAGTGGGGATATAACTTAGGTGGCTGGCAAGTGCATAACTTGATGGCAGAGCATATGACTGCTAAGCCAGCGGGCTTTAAGTATGTTCAGTGAGTCCCACTCTTTTTCCACTTCAGTTCATGTATGAATCATTGCCTATCTTGACCCCCTTTGGCTGGGAATTCAAATAATAGAATTTTTTGTCTTCCAATGTTTCCCACCCCTTGACGGACAGCTCTCCCGTGGAGTCAGTCCTGTTTTATGCCATCACCACCCTTCACAACCTGCTGCTGTACCAGGAAGGTGCCAAGATGGCCGTGCGCCTGGCAGATGGCCTTCAGAAGATGGTTCCCCTGCTGACCAAGAACAACCCAAAATTTCTTGCCATCACCACCGACTGCCTGCAGCTGCTTGCCTATGGGAACCAGGAAAGCAAGGTAAAGGGGGAGCCGTGCCACTAAACTAGGATGCTTCTCTTACATGGAGTGCAGGGCAGGAGAGACCCTGGGATCCAGTAACATAGGGCCTGAATTGGTGCTCATGATATAATCAAGTCTTCCCTACTCATGTTTGAGTTTGGGTTGCGTCAGTTCTGTCTACAAACAGCAAGGAAAAGGCTACATTTCATGGGCTTGGGGGGGGGGGAGGATGAAATGGAGAAAACATGCCCTAAGTTCTGGGGAAACAATTGAATGGACAGGTGCCATTCTCTGTGCACGCCCAGAGAAGCAGGAGATCATCGCTCTGTGTGTTTTCTTCTGTAGCTCATCATCCTGGCCAACGGAGGCCCCCAAGCCCTTGTTCAGATTATGCGCAGCTACTCATATGAGAAACTGCTGTGGACCACCAGCCGCGTCCTCAAGGTCCTTTCCGTCTGCCCCAGCAACAAGCCAGCCATCGTGGAAGCCGGTGAGTGGTTACAGTGGTGGAACGCTTTGTTAGGAGTCTGGAAAAGGGGTGCTTCATCTGGCGTCACACTTTGCCATCTTCAGCAGCTGATGCCTCAAGAGTGTGCTGTGGCAATTGGTTCTCTTCATTAACTGTGCAAAGTATGTTCCCTAAATTTGCACTTTGCATTTGAGAACGTGCAAAGCGATACAGGAATGCTCAGCTTTCAGTACCTTCCCAGGAACTAGTTCAGCGTGTGCAAATTGATTAGAGGATACTGTTTCTTTAAAAGCTCAGAGCAACCATGGGTCTTGCAAGTGGGGTTTCCCAGGCACTGATCAGGGGAACACCATCGTTGTTTCATCTTTGCTATAGACTGGGCAAATAGCTAGCCTTTCAGTTACAGTAAGACCTGTGCACGGTCGTTCTACTAGTAAGCAAAGAACATCACACCACCGTCGGGTGCTAAAAGAGTTAGACTTAGAACTTGAACAAGATCTTTGCCTTTGACATTCTTAAATCCTAAGCCCCTGTGGGCAGGACCTGACTTCTTACTTGTGTACAGTGCCTGGTTATTGTAAGGATTTTAACATAATGCAGCATTTGGCAAGTCACTTCGCTAGCCTTGGTTTCCTTACCTGTATAATTGAAAAAAGCAGTGATCGGACTTCCTCTTGAGCATAGTCTTGAACACACAACAAAGATTTGTGTCAAGGAAATGCTCTTAGTGTTGCTTCATTATATATATCAACCCGCAAAACATTAATTAGAGCTGTCGGACTCCCTCTCGCAGCTTGTCTTGGCAGTTTGTGCCATGCATGATAGCATTGCTGCAGCTGTTCTGTGAGCTACATCCAGCTTCCTTTCCAGGAGGAAAGACAGGGTTTAAATGCTAGTTATTTAGTGGTGGTTTAACACTGTTTGGACACACACTCCTGCTTGTCCAAGTAGCCAAAGTAAAAATAAATAAATTACAATTTTATATCTCTTTTCTTCTTCTTCTTCCTCTCCCCGCCCCCCAACACATCCCAACAGGAGGCATGCAAGCTCTGGGAAAGCACCTGACCAGCTCCAGCCCAAGGCTTGTGCAGAACTGCCTGTGGACTCTGAGGAACCTCTCAGATGTGGCCACAAAGCAGGTGAGCAAGACTGGGCAGGGCCTCATGCATTCTGCAGCAGTCTATTTTCCACGGGCACCTTTAATTTGAACCACCCGTAAGCCCCACCCAGTAATTGTGCCTAATAGTTGCAGAGTCATGACCAGTAATCTGCTTCTGTTGGAGGATCACTTGGAGAAGGGAGTGGAGGAGTGGGGAATAGGGAATAGGGCAAGGCTCCATCCCCAAAGGGCTGCGGAAAAGCCTCGATGATCCTTCACTCCTCTTTTTTGCTCTTGCGTTAGCAACTAGGGGGCCAAGTGACATTCCTCTGTGGCCATATTTGGCTTAGGGGATTCCAGCAGACGACCCTGGCCTTAGGGTCTAGCTAGCTTCTGATCTGAAGAGGTTGTAGCAAAATTTCATGACACTCCTGTTTGAGAAAGGGGAGTTTGAGAGACAAACATGTTGGAATACTTCTCCCCACACTCCTTTCTTCCCTTTAACAAAATTGTCTGGCCCCGTTGTGTTGTCTCATGACCTTTTCTATCCCACCCACAGGAGGGTCTTGATGGTGTCCTGAAGATCCTGGTGAACCAGCTGAGTTCGGACGACATCAACGTGCTGACCTGTGCCACAGGCACCCTCTCCAACTTGACCTGCAACAACAGCAAGAACAAGACCCTGGTCACCCAGTCGAATGGAGTGGAAGCCCTGATACACACCATCCTCCGGGCGGGAGACAAAGAGGATATCACCGAGCCGGCTGTCTGTGCTCTGAGGCACCTCACCAGCCGGCACCCAGAGGCTGAGATGGCCCAGAATTCCGTGCGGCTGAACTATGGCATCCCCGCCATCGTCAAGCTGCTTAACCAGCCCAATCAGTGGCCGTTGATCAAGGTATGAGTGGAGGGAGGCCATTGGCTGAGCAGTTATGCATATACATACATAGTGTACATTACTTCAACCGTATCAGGCTCAGATTGCTAAAGCAGTGGCTTTTCACATGTTCAGGGAAACAATCTAGCACAGTCCTAGGAGGCTGTGCCACGTCAGAATGGGCGGTCATGGTTAAATCTTTCTCCATGTCAGAAACTCTCTGACCATCACGGAAAGCTACTGTATTAGGGATTGTATTAGTTTAGCTTTCTCCTATGCGCTTCTCTCTTGGCTGTGCCAAGAGGTTTCATCAACACCAGGGAGCATTTGATCACATGGGTCTCCAATATTTTTAAAATATCATTTTTTCTTTATTGAAAGTTTAAAAAGTACGTAATCACAAGTGCACAGAGGAAGATAAGACGCAAAAGAAGAAGAAGAAAAAGAAGCGGCACCCATGTAGAAAACAAAACAAAGTGGGGGTGGGGGATTTGCATACATTACAAGAAATGGTTATTGTAGTTAACCAGACCATAACTTATTATGGTATTTATATTGTTGATTTTGTCCATGGCAAGTTTACGTTTCTACCCAACCTGTTCACGTGTAGTGAGTTTGTACCTATCTTCAATCTAATTGTGGAAGGGAGCTGCATTTTTATTTTTCCAGTTCATCAATACCCGACTTTTTGCCGCAGTAAGGGTGCAGAGAGTCAATTCATATTGTCCCTTTGTTAGATTCCATGTATTGGGTTTATAATTCAAAATCACATGGTCTCCATTAAGGTGGTACAGCCCGCCTAATACTACTTTCAGCTAAGCTACAGGGGGCTCTTTGCCGCACTGTGGAATATGAATTTGTGTGCTGGGGAATGATGCTGTGGATGTAGGAACGATGGGAGCAATCTGCTTAGATGTTCAAGATCTGTATGGCCGGTTGGTATAACGCAGTGGCTAAGTGCATTTACCTGTTCGCTAGGAAGGCTTTGCTTCCAAATTGCAGCTCAGCTGCAAGATAATTGGGCAGCCTTCGACAGAGCAGCCTCCTCTGTAATATGGGGGTGATGAATAACACCAGCCAACCTTTCATGCTGGTTGTGCAGATTGCTTAGATGACGCAAGTGCTGAAGGACGTGGTGCTTTTCCCTTATATGATCTTATAGCAGGCATGGGGTCTCTAGGTGCAGATGGGAGAAGAAAGTCTTCCTCCTGGAAGAAGGTTGAGGGAAGGGGGTTGGTGGGTATGAGAGAGAGGAATTGCTCTGTTGGCTAGCCTAATCCAGTGGTGCTCTTGTGTTTGGTTTTAATTGGAGCAAAGGCACAGGGACTGCATTTTTCTGCTCTGTTTTCTGACTTCAAATGCCAAGGGTGGGGTAGGGATGGCGAACACCAGCACCTTGCAGAACTACCTGGTTTTGCCCTTGGCCAGCGTCCTCAAGGTGTGCCTCTTTCCTTCTTCTCCATGCTCATAGGCTACCATCGGCCTCATCCGCAACCTGGCTTTGTGCCCAGCCAACCACGCCCCCTTGCAGGAAGCCGCCGTCATCCCGCGCCTGGTTCAGCTGCTGGTGAAGGCTCACCAAGACGCCCAGCGCCACGCAGCCGCCGGCACACAGCAGCCCTACACGGTGAGAGGCCATGGAGGGTTCTGGCTTGGGCATGGGAACCTAGCTGACTGAAAGCCCCCTTAATACAGCTGGTCCCTGTTTTCCTTTCATTTTGCACCTCTGGAGCAATAGTTACCTTCAGCGTAGCAATAACGTGGGGTGCAAGCCAAGGAGCAGGCTGCTCTGCATATCCAGCCCCTAACAGATTTCTTTCTCCTTCAGGATGGGGTGAAGATGGAGGAGATCGTGGAAGGCTGTACGGGGGCATTGCACATCTTGGCTCGCGACCCCATGAACCGAATGGAGATCTTCCGCCTGAACACCATCCCGCTCTTTGTGCAGGTGGGCGCATCCAAGAGGAGGGGAGGAATGCCATAGGGATGTGTGGGTGGGACTTGGCACCCTTGAGTCGGGTAAACTAGACTTGGAGCAGAGAGAAGCAAATCCCCATGAAGCTTTCTTGGTGGCTCTTGTCCAAATTGCCCACCCCCCCATCTCAGCCTATTGTTTCCTGCATTCTAACTTCCATTTCCATTCTAACTTCCTCAAAAGAAAGGCAGGATACTTGGGTGATGTAATCATAAGGTCCTTTGAAAGCACCACCTGTATTCTCTTTTTAAAAAAATATTTTTTATTCGGTTTCACTTTTAACATTTGCATTCATATATAAATCATGGTCATATAGAAATAGGATTCTCTGAATCCCTAGAGTTCCCTTCACGGGTTCCATAGTTACCGTATTTTTCGCACCATTGGACGCACTTTTTCCCTCCTAAAAAGGAAGGGAAAATGTCTGTGCGTCTTATGGAGCGAATGTGTGGTCCCTGGAGCCAAATCGCTGTTGCCCTGCGCTGCTGGGGCGCTCTTCAGGGGTGGGGGGAGGAGCCACGGTGCTCTGCCAGCAGCCTCTGCTTTCGCCTGAAGCTCTGACAAGGTTTGCAAGCAGAGGGAAGGCTGTGCGCCTTTGCCCCGTGCTCCTGGGGTGCTCTTTGGGGGGGGGGGAGCCACACTGCTCTGCCTACAGCCTTTGCTTTCCCCTGAAGCTCCGACAAGGTTTGCAAGCAAAGGGAAGGCTGTGTGCTCCTGGGGTGCTCTTTGGGGGTGGGGAGCAGCAAATTGCTGTCTCTCAGTGCCTCCTAATTCAACTGCAAAGGATTGCCTAACTGGAATCTGAGCTCCATTTGAAGTTTAAAAATATTAAGTTTGGGGATTTCTTCAAGTAGCAGTTTTGCAGAAATAGTCATAAATACATGCAAAGCATCTCCACAAACCAGTAATAGTGAGCTCAGCTAAAACCGAGCAGGCATCTGGCTCAGGAACAGTTTAAACTACACAACTATAACCGGACATCCTGTGTGTTTGTGTGTGGACCATGTTCCTAGCAGCTAATCTTTATTGCTGAAAAGAGGCACTGATATTCCACTCCAAATCTATAATTTATTATACAAATTCTTACAAGTACAGTCCACCTATACCAAACCAAAAACATTGTGTTCTCTTGTTATTGAATGGAAGCTATTTATCTGCCCTCTTTTCCTCCTCTGTTCTTTGCTGAGTAACCCCATTTTGAATCTTCCTTTCAAAACAACCATGCCTGTTTTGAGAAAACTTCAGAGATTTAGGAACTGGAGCACAATCATTTGATCTCTTTGCTATTCCTCCATACTCCAAGCACTTCTCATTTGCACAGCCCTGGTTTCTCTCCTGACTATTAATATTCTTGATTAATAACAGTAAAATGCTCAAATTTTAATTTTTGTGACTGCTGCCAATACTGACTTCCCAGTGATAATGAAAACAGCTACATTATAATGGAATGTCTGTCCTTTTTCCATTCTCTTCATTATATACCGTGGCTAGCTTTAAAGCAGCAAAGTGGACAGGAGCCACACACTTTGCTGTTTTAAATAGTTTAGTACAACATTTGAGTCAGATTTTTTTTTTCTTATTTTCCTGCTCTAAAAACTTGGTGCGTCTTTTGGTCAGGTGCGTCCTATGGAGCGAAAAATACGGTTTTCTTTTTTCAACTGCATCGTATAATGTTCTCTGTATTTCCTTAAAACTCAATTGTTACCATAGTTCTTGATACATTGCAAGTGTTGTTAAAATCCTGCCAATGTTTTTAATCGTTTATAGTGTTCTTCTAAATAGCTTATAAATTTCCCCCATTCTTCATTGAATTTGTTGTCTTCTTGGTTTCTGATCTTCCCAGTCATTTTTGCCATTTTGGCATAGTCTGTCATCTTTGTTAACCATTCTTCTCTAGTAGGGACTTTGTCTTCCTTCCGTCTCTGGGCCAGAAGTAGCCTTGCTGTGTACATAAACAGTCTTTTCTGCTCCTTTGGTATTTCTGGACCTAACATTCCTAATAAAAAAGCTGCTTCTTTTTTTACAAAAGTTATTTTAAACTTTTTTTCAACTCATTATAAATCATTTCCCAATATGCTTTCGTTATCTTGCACGTCCACCACATATGGTAGGATGCGCCTTCTTTCTCTGCATTTCCAGCTGATATTTGCAGCTGTTCTATATATTTTTGTTAATTTAGTAGGAGTTAGGTACCGTTGGTACCTAGCATCACCTATATTCTCAAGTCCTTGCTCATCTCCCTATCTTGCTTGTGTAGTTTGGCTTGAATCAGGTTTTTTTTGTGTGTGTGTGTGTTCTTGCCATTTAATAACAACAACAATTGAATGTTTGCCATGCACCCACCGCACCTAGGCATTGTATGTAAAGTAGGGTTTCGTAGTCCTTTGCTAGCAGGGACACGATACACAAGGAACGTTGAGGAAGGGCAGGGAGCAAAACGGAATGAAATAGAAAACATTCTCTTGCTTACACTTCCTGCCTTTGTTCGCTTCCCCCCTGACCGCAGCTCCTGTACTCTCCAGTGGAAAACATCCAGCGTGTGGCAGCTGGTGTTCTGTGTGAACTGGCGCAAGATAAGGAAGCAGCTGACGCCATTGACGCAGAGGGGGCCTCAGCACCGCTGATGGAGCTCCTCCACTCCCGGAATGAAGGCACAGGTAATGGGCTGTGTGCGCGCATTTCTCCCTCTTAAGATACAGAGTTCTGTGTGGTTCCCTTTGCTGTTGCATGCTCCAGCTTCCTCCATTCAACAGTTCAATTAGCTTAATTACCTAGTGTTGAAAATGCGTTAGAACAAACATTACAAGAGTGATTAAATGTGTGAGAGTGGCAAATGGTTTGGGGTTTGTATATAAAAGGCAGCATGGGCTTACTCAGAGTTAAGTGATTCCAAGCAGGCAACTGTTTCCTCTCTGAGAAAGGAAAATGCAGCATTTGACTTTTCCAGTGAAATGGAATCCATTAAAAGGAAGATGAACAAGGACTGTGTTGGATCTCAAGCTCGTCCGTAGTTTAGCACGACACAGACAGGGCCAAACAAATTCCAGCAAGCCTTAGATTGCATGCTCCCCTTTCTCTCATCCTCCTTCTGAGTTGCTGGGAGGAAAAGGTTTGGAAGCTTTCACTTCAGCTTTTGCATAACTGCTTCCTCTTGTCCAAACTTGGGATTGTGGTTAGTATTAACTGAAGCAATGATTTCAAGTTGGCTTATTACAAACAAGCCATAGTTATTGTTCACATTGCACTAAACTATGGCTTAGTGTGAAGCCTGAATGCAGCCAACGTTTTTTCTCTGGGAACATGTCCAACTTGGAGAAAAACAACTGATGAAAGTTGTTCCATGGTCTGGTCCAGTCCTATTTTATTCACTATTTTCGTTGGAGATAAAAATTGGAAGAGACTTGTTGGTGACCAGTGATCTTTTTAATGCGATAAAGGATCCAGGAGTTATGCAAGGATTTAGCTGGGTGACCTCATGAACTGAGCAATAGAAATTTGACAGTGAATAGTACAGAGTATGAGGGTGTGTATTTTATGACAGTCAGCTGGCTGTAAAGTCAGATGAATAAGGATATTGGTTGCAAAATGCCTGTGAGCTACTGATGTGATGTAGCAGACACTGAAGGCAGTTCTCGGATTCACTGGGCTTTTCTAGCAAGGATAGATGAGGCAAAGGAAAAGGAAGCCGAGAAAATTAAAAAGGAATAAAATCCACCAAGGTGGTAAAACACAGCCATTGCCAACATAGGTGTTAACAAAATGGGAGATTTGCTAAAGGGCCTCTTGATTTCACCCCCTCTCTCCCTCCAGCTACATACGCAGCAGCTGTGCTGTTCCGCATCTCGGAAGACAAGAACCCGGACTATCGGAAACGCGTCTCTGTAGAACTTACCAATTCACTCTTCAAACACGATCCTGCCGCTTGGGAAGCAGTGAGTGTCTATAATGTTTTGGCAGGGAAGGGCTAGTGTGACAACTTGGAGCCAGAGCAGACCTTGCCCCCCACCTTCCCCCAGTCTTCTTACTCACCTTCAGTTTGCTTGCAAAATGTATATTCTTATTTTGGACAGTTGATGAATGACTTCTGGAAAATCAAGGTGCGCAGAGTACTTAAAGTTGACGGTAGTGTTGTAACATTCAATATTGGGACTTTAGGAATAAATAAACTACCCCACAGCATTCAAAACTTGAAGATATTTTGGAATCTCAGGCACCTGAATCTCACTTCATACTTGCGCAATTTGGTCCTAACATACCGTATTTTTCCGTCTATAAGACACCCCCTATTTTTGGGGACTCTGATTTAAGAAAAAATATGTGTATTTTACTATCCGTGTATAAGACACTGTGTATAAGATGCCCCCAAATTTTTGACATTATTTTTTACGGGGGGAACCTAGACTTATACACGGAAAAATACGGTAATTGGTCATAAGAGAACTGGAAGGGGTTACTGGGTCATCAAGACAAACCCTTTGCCTGTTGCAGGGACCCTGCTTCAAGCAGTGTTATTAGAGAGAGAGAAATGCCCCACCTCTTCATGTTCAGTGGTGTTAACAGCCTTGGACAAGGGTTCAAAATTTAACTTAAGTGTTTGGCCCAAGACAATCGCCTCATGAGGTGACTCCCACCATAGCAGTGTTGTTCCAGCTGTGTTCTAGGAAAACCTATATTTGTTCCTGCATCACTCTTGGGACCAAAGAACACATTTCCCAGGAAACTACCTTTCGATCTAGCGATTTATTTATTTATTTTTAAATTAAGTCCAGCAGTGGTTTCGGGAGGGAGGGGTGTTGAGTGCTCTCCTCCAGGAAAAATGGCGCCTGTGGGAGCAATTTCCATCAGGAGAACAGCATGAGAGTAAAAGGCTTGCCCTCTTCTCCTTTCCCTCCACCAAACTGCTTCACTGCTCCAATCACTTTGGCACCTGCTCTTGATTAGAAACTAAAATGCTAGGCCATGCAGCCATAGCTGCTTCCATGACATGTGAATCGGCCCTCACTCCACATGGGCCAGTGGCAAGACATAAAATACCCTGGTCAGCATCCCATGTGACCTTGAATGTACCCAACTTCCTTAAAGTAACCTAGTTGGATGTTTGCCCAACCCATTGTTTGGTGGCCTCCAGTGACCTGTTGTCATCATCCTTTCCCTGAAGCTCTTGTTTCCGTGTTTTGTTACCCACTAAAGTTAATGTGTTTTTTTCTGCCTGGCGAACAATCTAAACCTGATTGGCCAAGTTCAGGACAGTGGTTGGAATCATTTTAGAGAGCTTCACTTGCATGAATAATTTGAAAATGGTCAAAGTGGCCAAAGGGAGTAACAGTACATTAAAAACAGTCAGAGAGGCCTGCTCATGGTGGACCACTTGCTTAGCAAGTATAGCCTCCAAGCCTCTACCCCGGGACAGAAAAGCCTGTGTCTCTCTATGTTACACCCATCATGCCTGATCATTGACCAGCCATCTGGGGCTGATGGGAGTTGGAATCCCATCTGGAGGGCACAGGTTCCCCACCTCTGCTGTATCCCATCAACTCTGGTTTTGGGGTGGTCACTTACTCATGGGCTAGGAGTTCAGCAGACTGGGTTTTCTCTCATCAAGCATTTGTGGATCCAGGGAATCCACTCCCACCCTGGTTTCTGGGCATGGGCAACCCAGATGTTTGCAGCTCTCTCAGCGGCACAAACTCAGCTAAAGAAGATACTGGCCCACAAAGCGGTTGTCCTGAGGTTGTCATGGGAAACCTGAGTTTAGAATACCCCAAGAGCATCTTTGGGTTAACTTGTGGTCTCAGCAAGGCTTCTGCTACCATGTTGTGTGAACATCTGTCTCTTCTCCACAGGCCCAGAGCATGATACCCATTCATGAGCCATACGCAGATGGTAAGTACGAGCTGCCAGCCTTCCTGTCCCTAGGTCCCAATTTCTAGGAGGTGGGGAGGTGGGAGCTGGCTCAGAGCAAAGGAAGCTTGGTGAGGCACTGCCCAACTTTCATCAACAAACCAGCCTTCACTGCCTGCTCTCCTATAACATTTAAGCACATGGGACCTTCTCCTTTTCCGTTGCAATAGAGCTGGATGGAGGTTACCGCAGCATGTACCCCTCCGACATCCCCATGGATCCTATGCATATGGACATGGACATGGACGGGGACTATCCCATGGATGCGTACAGTGATGGCGTGCGGGGCGCTTACCCGGACCATGTTCTTTCCTAAGGTGCTCTTTGGGCAGGGCTCAAGGTAAGAGCATCTCCAGATGCATTTTGGAACCGGACAGTGAGTTGAATCAAAATCCAACAGAGAATGGAGACAGTATGCTTGTTCCTGGGGGAACAAACACTCTGCGCCCTTTTTATTTGCCTGCAAAAATGACTCTCTGTTGTTGTGTTTTCTCTGCTCCAAATGAAAATTGATAACCTGCAGGTGTGATTTCTCTAGAGAGGCCTGGAGAAAATCCTGAGCTAAAATCAAGGGAGACACGAGGATTAATTTTTAAGCCCAGTTCAAATGGCATGGTAAATGAGAATTCGTCTAGACTCACTCACACACACCATTTTTCTCCTGTGCAACCGCAGCAAGAAGTTTGAAGTTTTTGCTTAACCGTAGCATGTTGTGTCTTCTGAACCAAGAAACTACCGTATTTTTTGCTCTATAAGACTCACTTTTCCCTCCTAAAAAGTAAGGGGAAATGTGTGTGCGTTTTATGGAGTGAATGCAGGCTGTGCAGCTATCCCAGAAGCCAGAACAGCAAGAGGGATCACTGCTTTCGCTGTGCAGCGATCCCTCTTGTTGTTCTGGCTTCTGAGATTCAGAATATTTTTTTTCTTGTTTTCCTCCTCCAAAAACTAGGTGCGTCTTATGGTCTTGTGCGTCTTATAGAGTGAAAAATATGGCAAATGACATTGACTATCATATGTTTGAAACAAGTCAGCTTCCAAATGTGGCACATGAAACTTGGCTTGCTCTGCAAACCTTGGTCAAACGTTAGCCGCAGTTGTTAGGATTCAGATGTAACACTAAACTGTGGTTAACTGAAATTGGAAGGAACAGCTTTCAAGATCCTGCTGGCTGTGCTGGAGGGGAGAAGAAAGGAGGGGGAGCCTTGGCTTGTTTCCTGTCATGGTATCCAAGCATGGCCTTTGTGTGGTGGTCTCTCCCCACCCCCAATTCCTAGACAAAATAAAGCTTTGCAGGTTTGCTACAAGCAGAATATTTTGTTGGGTCAGACCAAATGTCCGCCCGCTCCAACTGTTTATCTCCCAGCAGCCTCCATCCAGTTGCCCCTCTAAGACATGGTAGGGCTCCTGCGACTTGTCCCTAGCTTCTAGTACGAAGAGAAATAAATACTGCTGTTTCACTTTTGGCTGCTGTGGCTAATGCTCATTAGTAGACAAGTCCTTTGCAAATTTGTCCAAAAGTTCTCCCATTGTGTTGCCTCCAAAGTTGCTTATTTTCAACACCTACTGGTGGAACGGCTATTCCGAAAGAGAGAGAAATCTTTGTGCCTGAGATCTAGAAATTTGCCAGTGCCTAAAAACAAAAGGGGTTGTTCTTGATAACCTGACTGCCAAACTGTCTTCCTGGCAAAAATGGAGGTTGCTACTCAATTGACAAGGAAGCAAGAGACCTTTTGGTCATCAGACAAGGCTACTGGGCTTGATGGACCAAGCAGTCTGACCCTGATATATAAAGCAGCTTCCTATATCACAAACAGAGACATGCTCTCTAGCATTGCTGAGTTCTTTGTATCTTGCAAATCTGACATGCCCTTCTCTCCCCCCCCCTTCTCTTGCTCCACAGATGTTTTCTTAACACAGAAGAGGGCAGCCTCAGTGCTCAACTCCGGGGCACTTGGGAGACAGAAGTGCCTGAGAAAGATGACAAACTCTTCCTTTCCCTGCGAGGAGGTTTTATTTTCTAAAACGAAACCATTTCCCCCTCCTGTGGGCCTATGGGAAAGACCTTCTCCCCAGACCCCCCTACCCAGGACTGCTTCTAACAATCTTGTAATAACTTTTTATCGGCAGTCAGCTCCTTTCCCCCCAACTTTAATCAACCTCTCCCGTTTATCCCTCTGCCGCTTCACCAAACTTTCCCTAAATCTGGGAAGCATTCTCAAAACTGCCATTGGGTCCTTATACGAGTATTTTTCAAGCACACACACACACACAAACTCCCCTCACCCCAGCCATTTGTGGTGCAAAACTAACTCTTTGCCATTTTAGATATATATATATATATTCTCCCTTGTTTGTACTTCTAATGCGTTGTCAGCTAGGAAGTGAAGAAAACAATTTCCCCTTTCTCTCTTCTACTTTTTTTTTAACTTTCTGGGTTTTATTTTTAAATAAAGAGCAGCCAATGGGTGTGAGAGTTTGCCAAGAAATGAACAGCTTTGCATTTCCCAGCGTCTTCATTTGTTTTTTAGCCCTTGACAAATGTCTCTGTGGGCTTTGGCGCCCCAGCTGAAGAATCTCTTAAGCCCTCCTGCAAAGAGGAACAACTAACCATTTTAAGAAAGCTGTCCTTCTACTGACCATCTCTTGCACATTTTTAACCCCGAGTTGTCCTCCTTTTCCTCTCTCCTCCCCTCCCCTCCCCCCACCCTTCCTGGTGATTGGCGTGTTTCTCTTCCTCCTCCCCCCTCCCCCAACCCTCTTCCTCCTTCTAATGCATTTTTAAAAGCAGCTCTCTCAATGTGATGGCTTAAGGCTTCCACTGGAAAAGGGATCGATGTAGCTGCAAATGTACTTCAGAAGATTTTATTATTATTTCTCTAAGGGATTTTTTTGTATAGACCAAAGCTTAAAAAACAAATAAAAACTTAAACCCAACCCTGCAATGCAAATGGGCTTGATTTCTTTGTGTTAACATTAGCTTCTGAGTGGCAGACTGGAATTCTGAAGAGGGGAAGACGGCTGAGTGGAAGGAAGGGAGAAAGGACAATGGAAGAATATGCCCGGATGCAGTTTATAAGTGCTCAGGCCTTGTTTCATTGGGGAAATGTAGGGTTGGCCCAACAGCCTAGTGGAAGAGGCGACTTTGAGAACTAACTAGGATTGTAATAGATATATATATATTGGGAAGCTGATCAACTTGCTTGATTAGGCCAGGGGAAATTTATTGGAGAGAGAATGAAAAAAAGCATGGGCCTCTCTGAATGGTGCGCTTTGTGTGCGAGCTTGTAAATAGTTTGAGTTTCTCAAAAATAAATCAACATAGAGGTTTGGGGCACGCTAAACATTCTGACTTTAACTGGTTTTAAATGCAGGTTAAATAATTTTTTGGGTGCATTGGCTTAACTCATCAGGTGTGCAAGAGTAGAACTTTCAGAATCAGAAGCAGCTGTTGGAATATGTGAATTTTCTTTTTTCACGTAATCTACTTTAGCGGTAACATTACCTTCCTGAAGGTGGAGTTCCATATAGCCCAAACCACACTGGGACTTTTTTAATTGCTTTTAATTCCATCAGCTGTCCATAAACCTTTGCACCAACCAACCCTGTTAACTGTTCTTCCCAAGGAGAGGCTGTCAATTAAAAATGTGTAAAGTTGGTAAGGAGGGGGAAGAGTTTAACAAGGCCAGGTATCAGGGAGGTCTGCCTGTTAATCCTTAAAATAAGCATGATTTGGTGACTGCAGCAGAGAAATGCATGCCGTTCACTATGCATTTTAGGATTCAGCTCTTGATGCTGGAAATGGGGTTCAAGAGCTTGGCTCTGCTGATGTCCTTGGGATACCGTTGAAGAAACTGTGTGTTTAGGCTTCCCATAAGAATTGTGTCACATATACAGAACAAAAGTTGCTACACCAGTCTGCACCTTGCAGTAGTATGGTTGAACGTTAACCAGTCTCCTGGTGCCCTGCCAACCTGTGAAGTCATCTGTTTGATTGTAGTTCTGGTCTCTGCACACCATTTCCGGAGCGATGCTGGCTGAAGGTCATCTCACTCCCTTTCCTGTTCCTGGCCTTAAAAGCCATGGTTATTTTTTTCACTTTTATCCACTCTTCCATGTTGACACTGGATCTCCCACCCAGTGCAGGTATGGGTGGACTAGATGCTACACTTAAACCACACACCGTAATTGCCCACTAAAGTTGTCCAAATCCTATGTCACAGAAAGAATTCTACAAATCGGTACAAAGGATGCAAATGAACAGATGGGTAGGCTTGCTTGGCATAGTTTTCTGCCCTGAGATCTCTTGATGAAGGGTGGATATGAATATAATAAATAAAAATAAAATTGTTTATTATGCAGAGCTCTTTGTCCCATAACTTACTCGCCCACGGAAGGTCCCACCTCCATATCCCTGAAATCAGTCTGTTCATATAGCTGCGACTTCTGAAACTTCACCAGACATTCCTCGCATAAATCTCTGGCTCTACACCTGTCTCCAAGCAGCGAGTGCGAGTGGCGCCATGCTTTCACCAGCAATTGCATTTTTGGGGTGGGTGGGAGGAGACACATGTACATCTGGCAGACACTAAGGATATACATCTTTTGCTCACGCTTTACAAACAGGGGGACCACAGGTGTTTCGGGGTGCTATTGCTTGTGCTTTTGTGGCGTTTGCTGCCGGAAACAGCTATTTGTGGCAAACGATTGCGTAAAGCGTGGAGCTGCCGTTACCCTGTGAAAAACCACCACTCTCGAGTGGCAACTGTGTCCACGTTTAACAAGGTAACATCCGCTAATAATAAAAATAAAAATTAATTTATTATTTATACCCCACCCACCTGACTGGGTTTCCCCAGCCACTCTGGGCGGCTATCAACAAAAAAATACAACAAAGCATCAAACATTAAAAACTCCCCTAAACAGGACTGCCTTCAGATGTCTTCTAAAAGTCAAATGGTTGCATATTGCCTTGACATCTGATGGGAGGGCGTTCCATATGGCAGGCGCCACTACCGAGAAGGCCCTCTGCCTGGTTCCCTGTAGCTTCACTTCTTGCAGTGAGGGAACTGCCAGAAGGCCCTCGGAGCTGGACCTCCGTGTCCGGGCTGAAGTGCCTCTGCTGCATTAACCCAGGGGTCAAGGCAGTCTAGCATTCTGTCTGCTGAGAAGCTCACAAAGGAGAGCAAGAGAGGCAAATGCAACAAAGTTAAGTGTGTGCAGACTTCTTTGTGGTTGGGTATTTACCTGCACTTAATTCAGTGACCTGGTTCTTGGGATTAAGCGTGAGGGTGCTGGTGCAGAGCCTCCCCCCCCCCCCGTCTCCCAACCAGCTCCTCAGCTTCTTATCTCCACCTCCCCAAGTGCACCTTATTCCTCAAGCCTGCTGGAGCAAGTTTTCCCCCCTCCATATCCTGTGAACTCCTTAATCCCTGCAGCATGGCAGAAGGATGGAGTTAGGATCAAAGGGAGCTGGAGAGTAAAAGCTGTCTCCATGCATGCCTTGTTTTCCAGCATCAAACGGCTTTCCCTCTGTCCTGCCGGCTTTCTAGCATGAATGGGATTTGATTTTGCAGAGATTGGATATGGGTGTAACGGAACAGGAGGAGACGAGCAAGACAAGTAACAAAAACGAGAAGGAACGTAGCTGGGGTTCCTTCTTCAGCTATGAAAAAATGCCAGATGATGCTATAATTATGATGCTAAACAAAGTTTTATTTATTCTATTCCTTATGAACCAGACATGTAAACACCTTTAAAAAAAAGTAAGATTTCAAGGTCAGATGAAAGTGACGAAAGTATACCACAATTTTGTTGGCACACAGAAAAATCAGTGTCATGCAGGAGTGCAGAATTTGGCTTAATACCAATCTCTGCTTTGACATAACAGCAAACTGCCAACTCTTACGACTGCAGAGATGTGTGTGAAATGAAATGTCAGGAGCCAGACAGGTGACTCAATGAGATTTCAAAGGGTTGAGGAGGGAGGGGTGCCCCACATTCTTTCTTAATTCCTTTCCAGCAGTATCAGAACCAGCAAATTAGTGTGGATGCAGAATAAATTGCAGAATAAATTAGGCGACATTTTTAAGAAGTTACCCACTTCTTAAAAGTGGGTAGGTCGTTAATGCTGCAACCCAGTTGAAGGTGGGTTAACTCTCCAAGCTGGGTTTAAAATCCACACTTAAATAATCTTCCTGTCCTTGATTAATTGTTGGGCTAGCCAACAAGTAAAACTGGGACTGTGCGAAAGTCCCAGCTCTCCAGTGTTTTACATTTTATTTTATTTTATTTTTTAAAAGGAATGGCTTTTTCTTCCACCTTGTATCCCAAGCCAGTGGATGATAGCTTCACCTTGAAAGGAAAAGTAAGGGTGACATGGGCACATATCAATGTGCACTGTAAATCAAGACTGGCTTGTCCTCCAGATGTTACTAGACTATTTTCCATTATCCCTCACCATTGCCTTTGCAAGCTGGGGCTGATGGGAATTGGCATTGTGGCAAACATATGGAGAGCCACAGATGCCTCGTTCCAGCTGTGCATGAGGTTCTGGCTTGAAGCTGACCTCATGAACCAACTGGTGAGAGGAGATACCCCATTCCTAATGTCAAAGCAAGATTCAACTCCATCCTGAGCTGGTCCCGCTGCCTGGGAGTCCCACATCCACTGCCTTGCGTATGGGTGAAGAGTGGCAGAATGTGAAAGTGCTGGTAATAAATATATTTGCACAATGTTCTGGTTTTGAATTAGCGGGGATGTACCTAGACTACCTTGCTAACCTGAATCTGCAATAGCGTCCTCTAGCCTTGCGCAGGACTTCAGCTCGTTGCCTTGGCTGTTCTGTTCTGTTCTGCCCTGGCCTGTCAGTTAATACATTCTTCTCCTCACCTGGGAGACAGGACCTGTCAGTTCCTGTTAATCAGGCTACAGCAAGGCAGAGAAGGAGAACTATTCCTGGCAGAACGAGCAACATGTTGTCCTGGTAGAAATAAGGTGCTGTGGATGAGAAACATTAAAATGGTGCATGAGTGCGATGCTGGAATTCATGGACGCAGATAAAACTCCCTGGCTGCTTGTGTTCCGCGGCCGATAAGAAGGTTGGAAATTAAACTTGCAGGGAGATCCCCTGGGGAAATGAGCTTTCGCTCCCCAACTTGGGCACGTGCTCGTTCTCTGGGTGGCTGCAGGTGCTGCCACCCACCTGAAGCGAGCATAAGTGTATGTGTTCACATCACCTTGTTCTCCTTCCCTAGGTGAAACGAAGCAGTTTCCATTCTGCCTGCCAAAACATTGTGAATAGTACAAACCTCCTGTATGCCTTCCTGCCCACAGTCAACTCTGGCAGGCCTAGTTAAAGCAGAATTTTGGTGCTTTCATGCAGCACTTGGCACCCTGAGAAGTTTATCTCCAGAATATATTTTTTTCCTCTCTGGAACAGAGACCCTCTGTAGGGTGCTTGGGAGCAGGCAGAAGCAATGCCCAGGACCGTAGGTGTGCTTAGCACATTTCACGTGCACCTAGGGATTCTAAGGTGAACATTTACTGAACACAAACTCATACTCATAAATGACATTATTTTTATTCATCCTCACCAGAATCCCTGGTTTTTTTGGGACATTGGAGTGTATGTGGGCACACCCAGGACATCCTGTGAGGTCACCTATGCCCAGGATGATGAATAAGAATTGAGACTGTCCAGAGAGGAGGGGGGCAGGAAGAGAAGATAGGGCAATGGCCTAGAGCTTTATCCTTCTAGTGATGGATCAGGAGAAAGAGAATGGCTCTCCAAAAGCATGTTTGGGTTAAAGGCGCGTCCCAGGCTTGAAAGCAAGATTACAACTGGGCCTTAGCCCAGTAAATTACATACCTTCCAGCATCTGGGGGATCCAAATTGGCATGCTCGCTTTTTTGGTCCCGATATCTTGCAGGAACCAGCTGACTCATGCCGGACCAAAAAATGGGACATTCCAGGATCCAGTCAGAAACCGGAATGCCTCCTGTAATAATAATAATAATACTAATAATTTATTACTTATACCCTGCCCATCTGACTGTGCCTCCCCAGCCACTCTGGGCAGCTCCCAGCAGATTATTAAAAACTCGATAAAACATCAAACATTAACAACTTCCCTAAACAAGGCTGCCTTCAGATGTCTTCTAAAAGTCAGATAGTTGTTTATCTCCTTGACATCTGATGGGAGGGCGTTCCACAGGGAGGGCGCCACTACTGAGAAGGCTGGTTCCAGGATGTCCTGCTTAAATCAGTACGGTTGAGGAATGTGAATTAAAATCAATCTCACTGCACAGCTATCACTCTCACATAAGCCCAGTTGAAAGTGAGCAGGCTTCCTCCTGAGCGACCTCAGGCAAACTGGTATTCTTCCCAGCTAAGAATAATTTTTAATAATAATTTTATTATTTATACCCTGCCCATCTGGCTGGGATTCCCCAGGCACTCTGGGTGGCTTCCAGAACATATAAAATAATAATAAAACATCAAATATTAAAAACTTACTGTTACAGGGCTGCCTTCAAATGCTTTCTAAAAGTTGTGTAGTTCTTTATCTCCTTGACATTTGATGGGAGGGTGTTCCACAGGGAGGGTGCCAATGCTGAGAAGGACCTCTGCCTGGTTCCTTGTAACTTCACTTCTCGCAGTGAGGGAACCACCAGAAGACCCTCAGAGGTAGACCTCAGTGTCTGGGCTGAGTGATGGGGGGGAGATGCTCCTTTAGGTATATTGGGCCAAGGCCTTTTAGGGCTTTAAAGGTCAACACCAACACTTTGAATTGTGCTCGGAAACGTACTGGGAGCCAATCTAGGTCTTTCAGGACCAGTGTTATATGTTCTCGGCGGCCACTCTCAGTCACCAGTCTAGCTGCTGCATTCTGGATTAGTTGTAGTTTCTGGGTCACCTTCAAAGGTAGCCCCACGTAGAGCACAGGAGGGAGATAACCAGAGCATGCACCACTCTGGCGAGACAGTCCGTGGGCAGGTAGGGTCTCAGCCTGCGTACCAGATGGAGCTGGTAGACAGCTGCCCTGGACACAGAATTGACCTGCGCCTCCATGGACAGCTGTAAGTCCAAAATGACTCCCAGGCTGCACACCTGGTCCTTTAGGGGCACAGTTACCCTATTCAGGCCCAGGGAGTCCCTTACACCCACCCTCCCTCTGTCGCCCCCAAGAAAAGTACTTCTGTCTTGTCAGGATTCAACCTCAATCTGTTAGCCACCATCCATCCTCCTACCGCCTCCAGACGCTCAGCTTCACCCCTCTGTGTTATAATGGCGATATAAATACTAGTCACCTTCATACAGAAACAGTGTGCTCTCCTTTTAGCTTCTTCTATGGAAC